TGCCAAAACCCCAGACAGTTTGGTCAGTGGACCAACTGGCCTCAGAGGCCTCTTAGAGCAGTGGCTTTAGAGAGCTTGCAAATCTAGATCCTTCCTCTGCCCCTCTCCTACCACACACTTATCTCGTCCGGGACCTGGAAGTCACCTCTGAAATATAAACGTTCAAAGAGATAGCCCCGGGGTCCCAACCCTTCTGGAAAGGGCAGGGCCTAACTCTAGGTGGGCCTTGTTCTAGCTTGTACAAGAATCTTCTATCAGAGAGAAGTTTGCTTCTCATCCAGAAAAATGTCAGTAACCAACCCAGATGGCCTGGCCACACAGACCAAGCCCATGGCCCAGAGACTTTCCTTTAGCACACATCCTATTATTTAAAAAGTTTCCTGCCTTCTGTTTTGTGAAGTTGGCTCCGTTTATGTGTATTCTCTCCCCTGCTGCCGTAGTTTTCACTGAATAAAATATACCTGTACCAACTCAAATAAGGACTGACTTTATTTTGCTAACAAAAAAATGAAGTAGGACTAGTTTGAATAAAAGGGAAGATGCAATCTTTGTAACTGCCAAAGATGTGCTTATTCTTGTACTTTGTAAAGGGCCAATGGTAGATGCCAGATCGTTATGTTAATGTAGATTACTCTGAATGCAGAAAGAGGCACAAAACAATTTTACTTTAAATGTCAACATTCAAAATATTGGAAATTACATTGTCCTTTATATTCACTTAAAATTATCATAAATGTTTTCAGATACTAAGTGTTATGTTCTGAATGCTTGTGTTGAAACCCTAGACCCCTAAGTTGATGGTATTAACAGGCGGGGCCTTTGGGAGGTGCTTTAGCCAAGAGGGTAGAGACGCTGTGAGTGGGATTAGTGCCCTTATGAAGAGGCTCCAAAGAGATCTTTGGTCTCTTCTGTGTGACCCCAGAATGAAGGCACAAGTATGAACTAGGAAGAGAGCTCTCACCAGAACTCAGCCACACTGGTACCTACTCTTGGACGTTAGTCTCCAGAACCGTGAGCAATGAATTTTCTTTTGATTTCTTGCTGCGGCATTTTGTTAAAGCAGTCTAAGTGGACTAAGGCATCAAGTCCATAAGAGAACAGCCACATTATTTTCCATTCTCTTAGCTACATAAGTAAGAAAGCTTCAAGTCCACTGCTTTGGAGCACAGTTACCCTGAAGTGTGATTTCTAGACTGCCTGTACTGAAATCGACTACGTGTTACTTCAAAAATGCAAAATCCTGTATCCTTACTAGACTTACTGAGTCTATTTATGGGGAAGTTTGATGAAACAACACAACCCCGACTGTCATACATTCTGATATTTTCCCTTTTAATCCACAAGGTAGTGTTCTTTTTTGTTTGCTTTTAATGCAGATCACAACACTCTAATTTCAGGACCCACTAATGGATTATAACTCAGTTTGTAAAACACCTGCAAATTTGTTCCAAAGATGACTTGCAAGGGCCAGCGAACACTGGGGCTTCAAATGAGGTATCAAATTATCTAAGTTAGATTTAACTGACTTCATTAAAAAGGAAAGCACTTTCTATTTTACCAACAGCAGCACAGTTACCCTCTCTGTTTGCTGCCACCCAAGGTTGCTCATGCACTGGATTTCATTGTTGACTTCCTACATGACAAAGGCCATTTGATCGGGAACCTTACAAGATTCATTTTTCATTGCTAAACATTTTTTCATTTTTCAAATGCTAAACATTTCTCAGTGTTTAGCAAGGCATTTTAAGCATTGTCTTAAAATGTCGAAAGATAATTATGAAATAGTATCTTAAATATCAGGCAACAGAAAATGAAAATTGACGTTTTAAAACTTTTAACAGTAAATTAAATATTCAAATTAAAAAATAAGAATATGCGCTGGCACATTCAATTATATATACCTAACAAAAAATATATTGACGTTAAGTATCAATTGCCTATCTGACAAAAACATATGATGGAAGAAAAAGGAGCTACTTTGTCTTTGCCTTTTATCTTATACAATAACCACAGAAATATCATTCTTCAGCAAAGTATAAGTAGCCCTATCTTTTTTACTATTCACTTTTAATAGTGACATAAAATAATATACTCCTAAGTTTTTGAATAGCTTGAAGGCCACCTTTTATCTTAATGGAGAAGGACATGAATTGTTAGACATGAAATGAAATGTGACTATAATCAGTATTGAATTCTACTACCCATTGTTGTGAATAAACAGGTTTTAACAATACCTAAAAAGATTCATATTTTCCACTTCAAAGTCTTCTACTGCACAGACATGTGATACACAACACAAATTGTTCTGAAGATCATTTTAAGTAGGCCCATTGCAGTTACATCAAAACAAATAATATGAAAATCCAGATCTTATTCCAACCCTTAAAACTACTTAGGATCAAAATCAACCTAAACTGTTGCTAGATTTGGGGGCTGAAAGGAATTCAAATGTCACTTTTTGACTTTGTAGATAAGAATGAGACAGGAAGAAGAATCAGGAAATGCTCGGCCTACCAGGAGCTGACCATGCAGCTGGTACAGGACTGACTCAGTGCGACTCTAGGGTTTGATCCTGCTGGTCTCTCATTTCAGGTGAGTGCATCTCACGCTGTGCTGAGGGCAGGTGGTCCTGGCTGAAGCCAGCCAGCACCTGGCCTGCCAGCGGCCACAGGATTAGTTCAGGGGTGATGCAGCCAAGAGTTTCTGTTTGGAGCTTACAGGAGCTCCCTCAATCCATCTAGCTGGATGTGAATTAGGAAATGGTGTAGCCCCAGTCACTGAGGATGAAGCTAACCCCACAGATGACAGAGAGGAGAGGGGAAAATACTGGCTCCTGATGACCACCAGCTGCTGAAACAGCCAGCCCTGAAGTCAGCCCCAACTGTGGACCTTTGAGTTACATGAGCCAGTCAATATTTCGATCAATGAAGCCAATTTAATTGGATTTTTACTTGTGCCTAAAAAAATTCTAACAGTGATTTGTATTTATTGCGCAGTGATTTATGATGGCACAGAGGAGACAATGGAAGGGTCTCAGGGAGGCCTGACTGGAAAGCTGGGTCTCCCTGCAGCTGCCATTAAAAAAACTGAGCGCAGCTGAAATCTATTAAGAAACAGTTCAATTTAATGCAGTGTGTTGAGAGGCCACAACATTAATACATGAAGTTTCCCAGATTTTCCTGGGTCGGTGTTGGCCCGAAACTCCTCTCTCTTTCTCCTAGTGGGAATGTCCAGCACCCGCAGATTAGCAGCAGCCATATCTTCCCTGTTGTTCCACACATATGGGTGGCGGGAAAATCACTCACCAGACCAGGTGTATCCAATAAAAAAGCTGGTTCTACTATGATTAAGGAATTTTGCTAGGTGGTTAATAGAAGGTTGACTAGCATGTGGAACTTTCTGATAGGGTGTTTATAAAAATGCATTAGGAAAATAAATACACACAGCAGACCTGCTGGTAGTTTAGTTGAGTCATCATAAATCCAGGGTTTCTGGGCGTCCAGGCCCTGTTTGGGTATCATTGTCCCTCTGGTAAGATACTGCAACAGCCTTCACAGTGCCATGCCCTGTCCTCAGGCAGCTGCCTTCTATTCCTTTCCCTGCCCACCACCAAAGTGATCTTTTTTTTTTTTTTTAAAGATTTATTTATTTATGCATACAAGAGCTGGGGCACAGGCCAGAGATGCAGGGGTGAGAGGACTCACCAGAGACAGAGTGGGGAACAGAACAGGCAGAATGACTGAAATACACTGCTGAAGGGAGCAGCGGGAGAGTCAGGAGAGGTCTGCCTCACCATGTAGGTAGCTCTCTGGCCAGCCGGGGATCGAACTCGTGCTGCAGAGGCTGCAGATTGCTTCACAGTGCGGTGCTTAACCCCTTGCGCCATCAGGGAGGCCCCAAAGTGATCTTTCTAAAGTGGGAATCTGACTCGTTACGATTGGTTTAAAATTTATTATCTAATGGATCCATTCTCAGGATAAAGTCTAAGCCCGTTGTGTTTAACCCTTTAAACACAAGAGTTTTCATTACTAAGTCTGTTCTCGTGCCTCTAGCCTCGTTGTTTATACCGTTACTTGTAGGTAACTGAAGGTACTAAGTTATTTCACGCCTTTATTAAAACTGCTAAATCTGTCTGGAATGCTCCTCTCCTTCTAATCTTTCCCTTGACGTTCTCATCTGATGACAAATATTCTCATTTGTTAAGACTCAGCTCAGACACCTCTCTGGCCTTTCCTGGCTCCATCCCTCCTGGTGACTGGACTACTTCTTCCACCTTCCTTCTTGTACATAATGAGTCACCTGCCGTATCAATTAGAGATCTTTCATTAGCTTATTTGTTTGCCTGTGATTTATTAGCTTGCATATCTACAAAGAGTTCCATCTGGTTGTCAAGTAGGCAGAAAACAACTGGCCTCCTGTTGGCTGCAATGAGAAGGGGTCTTCCTTTGTTAATTTTTTTTTTTTTATACAAGAGCTTGGGTACAGGCCAGAGGCGTGGGAGGGTGAGAGGATTCACCAGAGACAGAGCAGGAACAGAACAGGCAGACGACAGAAATACACTGCTGAGGGGAGCCACGGGCGTGGCAGGAGAGGTCTGCTGCACCATGTAGGATTCTTGCTGGCCGGCCGGGATCAAACCCACGCTACAGAGGCTGTGGACAGCTTCACAGCGCGGCGGTCAACCCGCTGCACCACCAGGGAGGGCTAAGGGGTCTTCCTTTGGACAGCAATATTTGAAAAGCAGTGGGCACTAGCCCAGAGGAGAGGGCATGGCTTTTATAATTAATTCCTTCCTGCACAGGCTAAAGAAAGCATCTATGAAACAAAGGTTTTTGTTGCGTGATAACAAAAAAAAAAAAAGCATTTATGAAATAGCAATTAGGAGATAAATCTCTCTGTAAGTTCAAAAGGAACTCAAGGAGAGGAAGGCGCTTATGGGAGGAACGGAGAGTAAGGGAGTAAAGGAGCCCACACTACTGAAGATTTACAGCTGCACAATAACTGCAGAACCATGAAGTCTGCTGGAGAGAGCAGAGCATTTCAGAAGAGAGGTTAGTTTCAGGCTCCTCTTCCGGGTGCTTTTTTCATGTTAAAATATGCTTTGGTATTTGCTGCACATTACGCTGAGATTGTTTATTTATTCCTCTGTCTTCCCCAAGATTTCCCCCCCTGTGAATTTAGAGCGCACGGGCTTCCCGGGAAGGAGGAGTATGTGCCTTGCACTTATTATGAAGAGGGCTGCAGCGAGGCGGCGGCTCAGCCCCCCGCCAGTCCTGTCCTCGGGAGCAGAGGCATTATCATTTATGACTGGACGGCTCACATGGTCGTTTGGCCAATTTTCCTTCTCTTACTAAATTACTACCTTAGCCAATTTGAAATAATTTTCCAAGCATAAACAGAGAATGTGTTTCCAGCATGTCAGTCAAGCCAACTGAATCATGATCACCCCAGATGGGCTTTTGCAGCCAAATTTTTCAGGCCGGGTAGGAAGCAGAAAGCAAGACTTTGGGGAGCAGGCCTCTATGTGAACCCCGACTGTCACTTCTAGCTCCTGAGATACTGGAGCAGCTAATTCACTTCCTTGAGCCCTGCTTTTCTTAACTGCTGTTAAAATATTGAAAAACTTGTTTACTTCCCAGGGCTGACAACACAGACTAACGTCATAATAAACGTTGTCTCGCACTGCTACAGCAGCTGGTTGGAAGGCTGGCCACAAGGCAGGGGGAGGGAGACGGTTCATCTGCAGTGGCATCAGTGCAGCCTGGATGACCAGGACAGACTTAGGGGTAAGTACTGTTCCCCTTGTTTTGCTTTGCCATTGAAGGGCTGGTGATCCGCTTAGTAATGTGCAAGGCTACGTGACTAGTGCTGATGAAATTTTATTTTTTCTATTGTTATTTTACAGTTTTTAAAAAATGAGATGAATGGGCCTCCCTGGTGGCGCAAGGGGTTAAGATGCAACCTTATGAAGCTGTCCTCAGCCTCTGCAGCACGAATTCGATCCCCCGGCCAGCCAGGGAGCAACCCACATAGCATAGCAGACTTCTCCTGACTCGCCCGCTGTTTCCCTCAGCAGTGTACTTCAGTCAGTCTGCCTGTTCTGTTCCCCACTCTGTCTCTGGTGAATCTCTCACTCCCCACACCTCTGGCCTGTACCCCAGATCTTGTATACACAAATAAATCAGTCTTTAAAAAAAAAAAGAAAAATGAGATGCACGAAAACTGAAGGCAGGTTTAACTTCAGATCTCAAGGGGCTATACTGCTCAGGTAGAAGAAGAGTGGCTCTGCCGAGGGGACCTGGTGCCACCCAGACACCTAACTCAGGTCTAAGAGCAAAAATCAGGAGCAATAGTCTGTGACTTTCCTTTTGTTGAACTTCGGAATTTGGGGTTTCGATGTAACTGGACTTTAAAAGGGCGAGAGGATTTGGCTTTAGAATGGCAATTTTTCCCTGACAGTTTAATAATGGGAATTTAAATTTGGGCCATTTTAAAGCTGCTGACCTGTAGCACATGGCATGTGTTCATTTAGGTTCCGGTAAGTTTTAATCATCAATTCAGTTGAGCAAAATTTGAGATGGGAAATAGCATAAGAATGAATTTTTTTTGCTTTGTCCACAGGGGTCAGAAGCACGTGCTTTTCTAATTTTTTTCAGAGCATTCTGGAAGCAGGGCTGAATTCCACCACCGATCTATGCAACACGAGGCTAGCAGGCAGGAGAGGGGCACCCTTGCAACACAGGGGCCCCAGGGCCAGGCTGTGACCGAACCCGGACATCCTTCCCTCACGGGCAAGGGGCTTTGTTATTAAGCCTCATCAATTAATGTAACAAAGTCCACTGTCCACATCTCATCTTTCTCTTGTGGGAAGAAAACTCCAATTGACAGAAACTGTTGGAGGCATATGCCTGGCCTCTCTCTCTCTGTGTGAAGAACTGAGATACAGACATAAAGCACTTCCCAATTACCAAAGCGTGGTAAAGAGAAGGCCTTTGCGTGACTGAATTAGGAGCTGAAGTAGTTGCTTTCTGTACACATCACCGTTTTTGCTTAAGAGAACAACTCATAGATAATCTGTTTTCCAAACTTGCACATTTGGCAGACATTGTCTCCAAAGTGGACAAAGGAGCCTGTCACTTCAAGGAAAACAACTTACAACATTTGTTTCCAATGATAAAATTTGAGCTTTCACACAAAAATTAGAATTCTGGAAAACCTGTATCTGCCACTGTGAGCTCAACAGCTTCCCAATACTTAAAGACTCGTCTGATGAGAGGGGTGTTCATTTTCATGCATGAGTATTGTTGATGGTAATATAATGTGTCAACATTTAGATGATCCGCACAACTCAGTGAACCACTATTTTTCAAATACCTAATATATCACAAACCACACATGGATAAAAGATCCATTCAATGTGCAATCTAGACAATGGTTTAAACATATTATAATAAGGTTCACTGAGGGCCTCCCCTGGTGGTGCAGCTGCCCGCAGCCTCTGCAGCGCCGGTTTGATCCCCGGCCACCGGCGAGGGTCCCACATGGCGCGCAGACCTCTCCTGTCTCTCCCGCTGCTCCCCTCAGCAGTGTATTTCCTCAGTCTGCCTGTTCTGTTCCCCGCTCTGGCTCTGGTGAATTCTCTCACCCCCCTCCTGCGCTTCTGACTGTACCCAGTGCTTGTATAAATAAATAAATCTTTAAAAAATAAAAAGGTTCACTGATATGGCTTCAGTTTCACACTGCAACTAGTCTTTAAGTAACAACGATTTGCCAAGGTAGTATCAGAGACTATGTAAAATTATGGGATATTAAAACACCTCTCCCTTTCCAACCTCGTAACTGTGGATGGCTGGATTTTCTTCAAGCAAAACAATTTGGAATGTAGAAACACGTATGAGAACGCAGCTCTGTCCTACAGAGCCAGACATAATGTAAAATGGTATCACTTGTTCCTTTCTTTTGTAAATATAGCTATTTTCATTAAAATATGGGGGGGTTGAAATTGTATGGGGAATATAAAAATAAAATTTATTATTAAAAAAAAAGAAAAAAATAAATAAAATATGTTATTCAAGCCAACCTATCACCCATCTATTTCTAAAATTTCTTGGTTTTCATTTGTAGTATGATAAATATCAGTGGATACAACCTAAATAAACATTTGTTAGGGTTCCCAATAATTTTATGGCTGTTAAGGCTATCAGAGATCAAAAGTCTTAAGAATTGGCAGTAGAATTGGCATCTATGGCAGTGGTTAAATCAATCATTTAGGAAATCTCTATCCTTTACACTATGCTGGGAACTGAAGAATCAGGAATAAAAGACACCATCCTTTCCTGCAGTGGTGAACACAGGGTGGCTGAGGTGGGGAAGGCCTAAAGCACTTCAGGCTGAGAAGCAGCAAACCAGGCTCTAGACGGCCTCTTTGCATTGTATGGTTACCTCAGGTTTTAAAGTGGGATCCCAGCAAGCTTCTGGAGAACATCTCATACATGAGAATATTTCCTGTGCCCTGATTTATGGGGTAGCTCTATCAGTCACTGAGGGCAAGTGGGCAGTATTAGACATACAGGTCAGGGACATGCAGACAGGCCTCTGCCCAGCCCCCCACCATATCTCCTAACCAAATCAAGTCTCAACAAAGTAAACAGTGTGCTGAGCTGTGCTTAAGCTTTAATCGCTTCTCTAACCAGCCCCCCTACAGAAATGGTTCTTCTCGCTGAATGGGAAAAGCAGAGGAGCAATCTAGCCTGACTCCACCAAATGAAACAACTTAGATTTGGAGCAAATACACTTTTAAACAGTTGTATTCTTTTTCCTTCTGCATATTCATCACCTCAAATGTCATGCAAATTCAATCTCTGCCTACATGACATAATAGCATTTTGTGAACAATTCCCCCAGAACTTCTATGAATTCTGTCAATGCAAATGGCAACTGAACGACTATTACCATGAGGGTGAAGAGCCTTCCCTGGTTTATTTTATTAGGGAATGGGCACTGAAGTTGGTCTCTGGGGCAATTCTCTTCTGAATTCTCCTGTCTGAATAACTGCTTATTGTTCTTGGTTGCATTCTAGAATTAGCTCACCAGTTCTTTCCAAAAGCATGGCTTTGAATTAAATGTGGGTACATATTCAAAAACTGCAAACTATATGTGAATAGTATACAGCTATTTTACATTTTCAACATCATGTACAAGCTGTGGGAACATCTGGTGTTTTGCAAATTTGGGTAAATCCAGCTGCACTTTCTTTTCCAAATGTGGCCTCTGACATGTGTGGGTTGTATTTCAGTTTGGATTTTATACTCTTTCTCCCCAGGACAGCACTGTGTGATTTTAAACATGCATTTTCCCTAAACTTTTCCTCTCTGAATGGATAATTTAAATCTTTTAATTAAAAATAATCAGGAAAATTATAAAGCTAGTCTGAAAGACATAACATTAATTTTAAATGTAGCTATAAGTTACCTGACTCAGTAGAAAACCACCTCTTGAGACAGTCTGCAATAAAAAGCCATCTTGCTGAGTATTCCAAAAGGAAGGCCATGCCATAATGAACTTACTCAACCTTTATTGGGTCAGCTCTGGTTCTTTTCCTCAGAAAAATGAACATAGATGCACAAATAATTGCGTCATACATTGTCAGGTGGTTGAAGGGCATCTTAAAGGTGTAATTAAAAAACTGAGGTGATGGGAAACTGCTATAATTTAAAATCACCTGACTTTAAACATGGTAACTAAAACTCTGAGTGGTCTCTCCATTCAACTCTTTTTTTTCTTTTTTTTTTAAGGATTTATTTATACAAGAACCGGGGTACAGGCCAGATACGTGGGAGGGTGAAAGGATTCACCAGAGACAAAGCGGGGAACAGAACAGGCAGACTGATGAAACACACTGCTGAGGGGAGCACTGGGCACAACAGGAGAGGTCTGCGTGCCATGTGGGACCCTCACTGGCAGGCCGGGAGTGAACCGGCGCTGCAGAGACTGTGGACAGCTTCACAGTGTGGTGCTCCATTCAACTCTTAAATTTAATCATGAATCAATTATTGCTGGGGAACTCTAGAATGTTCTATCCACTTCCACATACATGCTCACAATCAGCATGTGGTCTTGGTGAGCTGGGCAGCTTTGCTGCTGGCCTCATTTAAAACTGCCTGCAGGGGACTCCCTGGTGGCGCAAGGGGTTAAGCACCATACTATGAAGCAATCCACTGCCTCTGCAGCAAGAGTTCAATACCTGGCCAGGGAGCTGACCCACAGGGCGCAGCAGATCTCTCCTCTCTCCTTGCTGCTCCCCTCAGCAGTGTATTTCAGTCAGTCTGCCTGTTCTGTTCCCCGCTCTGTCTCTGGTGGATCCTCTCACCCTTCCCTATCTCTGGTCTGTACCCCAGCTCTTGAATGCATAAATAAATAAATCTTTAAAAAATTTAAAAAAAAAAAAACTGCCTTCAGTCTGAGGGGAGGGAATGTCTTAGATAGAAGAAGACCCTCCATCTTCCCCACTGGTCTGTCTGCTTCTCTGCCTCCTCCAGTCAGTTCACAGGAACCAAGTCTGTGAATTACTTATCACTTGGTTTGGTGCCCTCCCCCCAGGACATGTTTCCTGCATTGCTATGCATATCTGGACTTTGACCACCTTCCAAGTCGAGAGTTTGCTAGATTCTGGTCTTTCCCCATATACTGCCAGGTTCCTGCCCGCCCTCCTCATTCAGACCCAGCTCTGCTCTGAACACATCGCATGCAGGCTGCTTCACGTGGCAGAAAATGCATGGGCTGTGCCCCCGCTGCTCTGGCCCCACATCTTGTAGAGGCTCCAGCTCCTGTGACTCAAGCTGCTTGTGCTCCGACTTCCCAGAGACAGGATCATCTGGGGACAAAGAGTAAAGACTCTGGAATAATTCTCCTTGAGTCCAGATTGTGGCTCTTCTTAACTTTACGAAGACTCATTTTCCTCATCCATTGTAATAAGGAGGTAGAGATCTATGTGCTTCCTGAGGCTAAACCACACAGCTGACAAGGGGCAGGTTCAGAGGTCAAAGCCAGGTGTGTGACTTCCAACTTGTGATCTTTTCAAATATATCAGGCTACCTCCTTTGAAATCATCTTTATTTTCTTCTCTAATTCAGATGATTATTTTCTTTTTACAGCAGTGACTATAAAATTTTTTTAAAGTTGTTAACTAGATTATTTGAGTTATAATAATAAAACATGAAGCCCTTGGTTATCTACCCCTATTAACTTAGTCAATTAGTGAATTAGCTAAAACCAGTATTCTCCATAGATGTTAAAACTGCTATTTGTGCCAATCTCCAAGTGAAAGACTTAAAGTTCTTCCAACTTCGGACCAACCAGAGGAATCCCAGTGGCTTGAAATTCTTCACCCTGACACCCAACTTTCAGGATAATATTCGCCATAATAAAAATACTTGGGACAGGATATTAGGTAGATGTGTCAACTTAGGGGAAAGTTCTGGCAGCGGCAAAGATGGGCAGAGATGATCAAAAGAAGTGGACGGGCAGTCCAGCTCAGCAGCCTGGACCAAAGGCCTGGAGTTTTCTAGGAGAGAAAATGCCGGGGTCCATGCAGTAGGAAGCTTACATTCATTTTGCAATGGTGAGAGGGCAACCTACAATATCTATCCTGAGAAACCAGACAGTGGCAAAGAGCCAGGTCAGGTTTTAGAGTCCAACATAAGGACTCAGACCTGAGCACAGAGCAGCAGCTGGAAAACGCAACAGACACTCCAGTGTATATTCCATCACCAAGTCACAGCCTACTGACACTCAGCGAGGCTGTCACCTTGGCTCTGAGTGCAAAGCCAGTTCTTCCCGGCCCTTGGTGATGTGGACCGGGAAGGAACTGAAAGCCCCATGGTTCTTGCCCCTTGTCAGGACAGGAAAGGACAGGAAGCAGCATTTTATTAAGAGAACTAACTGCAACATGTAAAAGACGTGTAAATTTGAACAGCCGGTGTCTCATCTAGACTACTTGCACATCTATGATAAGAGAAAATGATTTCCAAATTAAAACACCTCTTACTTAGCAAAAACAAATAAATAAAATGCTAAACATATAATTATTCCCCATTTCAAGAAAGGAAATAAAAGCCAAATGAATGAGCAATTTCACTTTTTCTAAAGCATTCGATCGACTTTGAGCGATCCTTTTGGTTACCTTGGTCACAGCTTTTGGGGAAAACGTAATTGCATCCACCACAGTGATGAGGTCACCTGGGTGGAGGCGATCAAAGTACTTCGTGCAGACGTCATAGGCGTGAAGCCACTCCGGCGAGGACTCCGGGACTTGCTTAATGAGGTGAGGGTCTCCGGTCCAGAACAACTTCTGCAACCAGACGGTATACAGAGAGCTTGGGGAAAGCATCTGCCCATCCTTGTCAGGGATTTTGGGAACAAGTTTGGAAATAGATAAGATATTTTGACTTGAAAGAATTGGCTCCAATGCTTCCAGAGGATTTGTGTTTTCATCTGTCAGTTTTTTATAATTAAGACCTAGTGGGAAGAGGAAAAAAAGACAGCTCATTCCAACCTAAAACTCCAGGAGCTTTCAAACATGCAACAGCCTCCGGCACGGCTGATGAAAGACTGATCTAGCAATTTAGCCATAACAGTCTGTCAACTAGATACAAGATCTGAGTTCTGGTCCAGCCTGCACTTAACCCCTGGTGCACTCCTGGCCTGTCACTCCATCTCTCCCAGCCTCACCTCCTTGCCCGTCCGGGAGGTGGAGGCATCTCCTCAGCCTTCCGCAGCCTCTAGATTTCAGTAACCTGTGTCAACGCTGCTGTGACTCACCTGGCCTCTCACCAACTCCTAGAGTCAGAAGCAGAACCTCCCTCCTTTTTCTCCTGTCAAGTCCAGTGTCTAACTTGGTTCCTCAGTAAGCAACTGATAAACTAAAGCAAATTCAGCTCGTAACATATCTCACCACTGTTATGAGTATCAAATGAATACAGATTTGAAAGCTCCTTATAAATGATAAAATATTATACTGGTTTAACGTATTTCATCTTTAAGATATAAACACATTCTAAAGATTTCTGTAACTTATCAAAGATGTAAAGGCTCTTATTTTAAGGACTCCAGTGGATAGTCTATCACCAAGTCACAGCTTACTGACACCCATTTTAGGGGTTCAATTCAACCACAGGTAAGTAGTTGAATCATGCTTTAAGGCTTAAGTTTCAAGGTTCTAGGCTCCTGAAGTAAAATGCGCCAAACGGTCTACTGTGAAGTGTCTCGGGCTTGTCATTTCTACAGATAAATATAACCAGTGTGAGTAGGGAAAGGTCTCTGGAGCATTCGCCAAGCAGTCAGTCACTGTGTGACCATCAATAGGGCTCTTAGTTTCTCTGGTATTTAATTCCCACAACCTTGAGTCACGGAGTGGGAAAGATAACTGAAGTTAATGAGCATCAAAACCCCGTGGTGCAGACCTATGCTCGTCACAGCGCAGGACAGCACTGAGTGCAGGTTAATCCCCGTATTTAATGCAAAGAGAGAGCCCAAGCACAGGAACAATCGTCTCACCTGATGCAACGACCTTAAATTTCTTCAGTAACCGGATGTGGGTTTCTGGTTTAATGGCATCCTTCCCAAAATCTGCACAGCCACAGCTTTCCAGAAGAGTGAAATAGTAGAGCAGCCTTTCATGATCAAAGCCGCTAATAGTGGGGTAAATGTACTTGACCATGTGCTTGTGAAAGGCTTCGGGGTCAGTCTTCAAAGTCTCGAAGAGATGAAGGGCCTGGGCTCGATTTTCAATTTCTATTGTGGACAAACTAGAATTAGGAGACAGAGAAACATAAAGAAACAAAACGAATGAATGAATCAAACACAACAAAGATAAACTTTTAGACTCTAGACCAAATGAATGGCTACCAGAAAGGAAGGCCGAGAGGGGAGTGGCAGTCGTGCAGACGAGGTCAGCCGTGTAGACGAGGTCAGCCGTGTGTGAGGGGCAGAGCTGGGCAGACGGAGCTGAGCCAGCATGTGCAGCACCGACTTACAAAGACGCACAACCCGAGCTTGCGTTATAATGCAATGGTCTGTCAATAAGTTTTTTTTTTAAAGAATGAAACTGTTAAGATTAGATTATTGTCCTTCATTAAACAACAAGCATTTTTCTTTTTTGCTACCCCAGGAAGAAAGACTACTCCTTCAAGCCCCATCTCCCCGTGTAATGAGAGACAGCAAACCTCCAGGGTGGGGTTAGTTCCCGCACAGGAAAACAAGCCTGCCAGGCTCCTGCTACTGCACCGCCCAGTTCTCACACTCTCTCCCTGGGCCCACCGCAACCCCGCCAGGCGCACCACCTCACCCTCCCGAGCCTGGGAACACAGCCTGAAACTCGGTAAGTGGGAAATGAAGGCAGATCTGCCAGTGCCCTCTTCTCACTCTTCACCCCTACAAAAACGTACACGCTGAACTTCATTATAGAAATGTAATCAACCTTGTTACTCCAGGAATTTAGGAAGTCACCCCAGATTTTAGGCATAAGTTTTCCATCCAAGAGTCACGAACTGATATTCAAAACATGCAGATCTTATGCTGTGTTCAAACGGAATTAAAATAGGAAAGAATAGACAGACATTTGTACTCTCACTTGAACTCTCTGTAGTCAGGAATGCCACCTGAATAAAACATGTATCTTAGTATTTTCACCTTTAGTTAGGTGTCTTTATGACATAACTTAAGAAGTCATTTAAGGTTAAACCGTTGGGAAAAGTCTTAAGAAGTTGTCTGGTGGATCAGTTCATATTTTCAAGTGAAGCGGGGGAGTTTATACTTTTATCTCATGCTTTTTTCCTGGACAAAATAGTGGTGCCCCTGTCAGTGTGATGCCAGTGCCCCATGCTGGGCCTCGTACCCACTCATCTTAGGAGTTGGCCCTGCAGGCAGCCCCAGGAGACACGCCCAGGCCCGGGGCTCTCAGCGGCAGCCCTGAGAATGCAGGGGGCAGTGCGTGAGGTCTCCAGCAGCATCCAAGTTCAAGTTCACAGAGTTTCACAGCCACTCCTCTGAAAGAGGATGCTCTGGCTACTGGAATCACCACTTTCAGAATGTGCCGAGACATTTGTTTGGTTTACAGAGACAAAGTTAACACAAATTATGCTTTGAGATTTACATGATAGTCTGATAATAGGTGAGATCTGAGCATCAATCTATAAGTCAAAACACCAAGTAATTTTAAAGTGTTCTTTTAACTTGTATTTCAAAAGAAATCTTTTATTTCTTTTAAGGCACAATTCAAACATATCCCCCAAAAAACCCATCTGTAAAAATGCCCTTGATCTATTAAAAATAAATCCCCTTTCTATTCTGAGTATCCTTCTATTCCGAGCCTCGTAACAGGCTTCACCATTTATTACCTTGTCTGTCTCCCTCACTAGCAAAGTACCACTTGTGGTACAGCTGGCACCACCCTTCTTTATCCTAAGTTTTTCAGTCTCCAGCTCTAGTGTGTGCTACACAGGAAGCATTCAACACGTGTCATGAATGCAAAATAACACAAATGTAAGGCTTTCTACAGCCAAGGTGTGGTATCAGCACAAACAACAATGTAAAGTAACGCAAAAAGGCCCGCAATCACATTTAATCACATTTCAATTAAGAGCTGATCACTAAAGAGAGGACTTCAGCAGACAGATATCAATGATGACAGAAGGCATAAGTATTTGGGCTTGGTGTTAGAGAAAGGAAGGAAGCAAAAATATCAACCAAATATCAAGATGCAAAAGTGAGCACAGAGCTGGCTGGTGGAAAATTTTCTCGATCCTCTCACTCCTCAAAATATGCAGTGGCATCTGTGAAAGACATGTGCACACAGTGGGGCATGACAGGGATTTCACGTGTTTCTGACGTTCCCTCATAGTTTGCAAAATGAAGCTTGAAAGCAATGTCGAGACTGCACACCCATTACCATGCTGGTGTGGACACACACTTGTGGGCAGCGCCACAGGTCCAGAGAGGGTGGAAAACCAACTTGCACCAAGTATGCAGACACCTATGCTAAGCAAGTTAAACCAACATAACTGTCAGCTCACAGGTGAGAAACTGTCTTCTGAGTGGTTAAGTGAGTTGCCTAAGCCCTAGTCACAGAGCAGTCACTGAATCGTGAAGGTGAACGGCTCACACTCACAACGGCTAGAGTCACAGGATTCTTTCTGTAACGTGGACATCAATTCTCTCTCCCAGCATGGACTCAGAGTCTCTTCACTCCTTATTCCCTGATAAACCAAGGATTCGAGACGGACTCATCTACAAATGGACAGACAACGATTACATCATAGCAGTTTTAGTTCCTCTGCGTTTGCCCTGATTCTGAATAAAGACTCTCTCAATCAACTTTCCTTGCCCACCTACTTTTTCTTCTGTGCCTACAATTCAGTTTGCCCGATGTGCAATTTGACCTAATTCCCTTGTCAAGAGAGATACTGGAATACTGTACTGACACATGATAAATACCAAACCCTCCTTCTTCAGTAAATTACAATGTGCTAAGATCGTTTATAGATGCTCGTAATCAATAATCCATTTTAACAGTCTCCACTGAAGGCAGCAGTTATCTTCACTTTGGAACAAGAAATGAAATCTCTGCTTAGAAAACCATCCCCAAGAACCCACATTTAAAGGAGCAGGAAGAAATGCCACAGGGTTACTGTAGACTTCTCCCTCATCAAATGAATGATCACCCTTAAAACTGTTTAAGTGCTTTTCTTGAACCGGGTTTTAGCTGTAAAGCAGCTTACACAGAGCGCATATATTTAATGTTCGGAGATTAAGCATAGGAACTAACTAGCGATAGTGGTACCCAATGCAGAAGGAAGACATCATTAGTGCTAATGCCAAGATGAATGTGTTCTGTAATGGTGACAAACTGCGCATCAACAAAAAATGTGATTCAAGAATGGCATGTTTTGAAAAAACTCAGAGTCACAGAGGAACACTCATTTAAATATATTTTTCTTTGCTCATTCTGAGACTGGGTGGCCATGCAATTCCATTTGCTGGCTGCAAGGAATACGCCATAGGAGAGGCAGGGGAGGGGAGGAAGGGCTGGGAGGAGTGGGCGCAGGGAAGGTTGTTGGCGAAGGCTGGGAGAAAGGGCAGGGAAGGGAGGAGGCTTTCTCAGGCTGAGGACAGAATGACGCAAATGGATGGTCACGAAGTGAGCGAACAGGACTCTACCACCGACTGCTGCGAAAGGGACAGCTCTACCCTCTCAGCCATAACTCATCCCTCTAACCACGGATGGACTTGATGCGGCTGACTTGATCTGCAAAGCCGCCTGACAGCGGAGAATAGGATTCTGCAGGGAAAATGGGGTCAAAATAATGGTGGCATTTTTCAGTTTTGCAAACATGTTGGCTAAATGTCCTTGCAAACGGAAAAGTGGATCCATGGGACATTGATCAGAAGATGACTGCCACAGCGTCTGAGTCACAGGAATTCCTTGTCACAGGAATTCTTGTGAGGTGCTGTGGATTGTCTGTGAATAGTGGTGTCGTGGAAGCCACGTGAACACACTTGAGCTCCTTTACAAAGACAGTCCTGACCCCTCATGAACTGAGTATCTCCATTTAACCTTTCCCACTCTTAAATTATTCCTGGTCTTGAATTTTATCTTAATTTTAAATGTTATGACATACTTTTAATAAGCTAAGTTAGCTTACACCTCCCTCTATACACTAGCTATTCTCACATTACTCAACTGAGCCAGGCTTCCTCTAAGGGAGAAAGAGAGGAAAGAGCAGGCCAAAATTTAGAATTCTCAACAATGTGGTAATCTGAACACCAACCTAAACTATGAGCAAAAGCCACCCTGAGGCGAGATTCTGTGTACCTTCTGCGCCAACTGAGGAAAAAGTAGATACCTGAGAGTTTACTCCTCTCTTTACAGCTCTACCTTGCTCTTACCCATCCTTGCACCTGAGGCCAAAAGAATCCTACAGAGAACAGGAAATTGAGTGTGGAAATAGCACAGCACAGACCCACTCTATCGGGCCCTTCCCCCAAGCCTACAGGAGCTTGACGCTGTCAACAATGCAAAGATGGTATGGCGACGTCTGCTGTGCATGCATAGTCCCTGGAGCAATCAGTCACCCATGTGCCTGAAAGTCCTAATCCTGGAGCTTCATGGAAATGCAGACTGGCTTTCAGATCTGCTGCCTAAATGAGACAGGAAGAGATAGAGAATGCGCTGAGGTGGATTGTCAGAGGTAGCTCTGCCCAAGTTGTCCTCCGCTCCCTCAGCAACAGGCACAATGGTATTCCTTCAGCTACTCAAAAACGCCAGGACCTTTCCTGCCACAGAACCTGTTCCCTGTGCCTAAAATGCCTGTCCTTCCAGTCTCCTTCAACAGGCATCTCCTTCCATGTCCAAAAAGCAGCTTCGCTGCCTACTCTTTGTGTTTTTCATGTTATGGTACCTACTATGACCAGTGATTTTGTTTTTGGCTGTTTCGAGTGTGTGCTTTGGGATGGGGAAGTAGGAGGCCCTAGGATGTTAGTTCTGTAAGGGTAAGGACGTATTTCTCTTGTTCAGCACTCAAACCTACCCCCGGAGCACAAAGAGACTATTAAAAAATAATACCTAATAAATGAACAAAAGTGTCACAAGACTACTAATTTCAGTGAATGAATGAAATTAACTTAGTGAATGGGGTACAAGAGACTATAAAAACACTATTATTTAATGAATGAACACATGTGGTACTATTCTAGCAACTGAAAGCATCCCTGGCATTTTTAAATGATCCTGTATCCAAACCGTAAAGACAGTCATGGAGTCAGCAGGACTAACAAAGAACCATGACAGGAATGACTGCGGCAGCACTACTCTCCTCCATGCATCTTCACGCTCCCCTACAGGAGTCCTGGTGACTGAGGAAACAAAGACTCAAGAGGATCAGGGAAGGCTCTGGGCACTCAGTTGGTGGTGATGGCCAGTTGATCTGGATCTTGAAACATAGTCTCACTCTAGCACCATCCCCCACCAGAAGGCCTCAAGTCCTAGTTAATGTTGTCTATGGATCCACCAAAGAGACACCAAGGAGTGAAGGTGGGCACTCGGTCCAGAGAGAGAGAGATGGTAGAACATCCCTGAACTTGGGTTGCTGAACATGTCCCAGTAGAATTGAGAAGCCACCCGAGCTGTTGTCTGCCAGCTGGGCCAACTCCAGGCCACTCAAAGCCACCGATGCTGTTGAAACTGCTAAGGGCAAGAAAGTGACAAGGAAAAGTAAGGGAGAATTAAAGAAACCAGGAACTCAAGGATGCGTGTTTGAGAGAATTAGGTCTTCCTTACAGGAGTAAAGCCCAGGAAAAACTGCCCTTTGTTAAGCAGAGAGTAAGTGTCAGGTACAATAGACTTGATATTTCATCATTAAACATTTAATTTTTATTACACCTTCCCCCAGAATTAAGGAGAGTGAGCTCAGAGAATTGCTTGGTGAGGATACACAGCTGGAGAGAGGCACAGTTAGGATTTGCCCCAGCTCTTCTGGTGTGAAGGTCACGTTCTACTGCAGTGCTGCTCCCCCAAACCTGCACTGAGGCAGGTAATCTCTCCAAACTCAACAGAGAGGAAGGAAAATGTAAAATTAGAGGGATACCAAATTCAGGGGGAAAATGACTTTGTGAAGGAACAGGAACACAACCCTAAGGCAAAGAACTTTCTTTTCCTTGTGCACTGACCTGTTAACTTCCCATGGCGTTGACCCAGCAAGCAAATGTTGGGCAATTTCTGTCGTATTAGCAAAGCTGATTTTTAATACCCGTGGAGCTGAGTCTGACTGAACAGGCAGGCAAATTACTGCCATTTCCGTGAAGAACAGGAGCACCCAACACCACTTGCTAAATCAGTATTAGGTGTTTGTTACTCGTGAGCAATGACGCCAGGAGGCAATGATTTCCTGCTTTTGTAATTGCTGCGCATCGAGGCCTAATCACCCCGCGATCAGGTGTGACGAGATGCCGCCACGTCGTCACATCACCAGGCTGCCTGATAATTTCAATATACTCAGAGACCAATGAAGCATCCTGTTTGTATGGCTTTGACAGCTTTTTATGTAACATTCAATGAAAGGGAAAAGATATTTAATAAAATGCCAATATACATAAGAAACATTTGAACATGTTAGTGCCCCTCAAAAAAGGCGACCTCAGCACAGTATTTATCCCAGAGAAAATGCTCACCCAAATAGCAATCCGTAAATACTTAAAATGTAGATGCCAAAATTTCAAGTGATTAATGAGAATGAGAGCATCTAATCTGTAAGCATTTCTTGCCTGTTCGGGGGGATTCGACCTATTTCCATACCCCTGCTCTGCTTTTTCTGTCCCTCCGCTGGCTGCTTTGCCTCGACCGCTCGCTGAGGAAGGTGCTCGGAGCGTCTGAGTCTCCTTCCTCTCTCTACGCCGAGTCCCAGAGCACGCGCCCCACACCGTGGACCCAGCACCTCTGTGCACCTCTGTGCACGCGGCTCCCAAGGCAGCATTTCCAGCTCCATCTTCTCTGGGGTTCCAGACCAGGAAGATCCAGGGCCGACCTGACCTTTCCACTCGGCTGCTCCAGCAACGTGCAGCTTCCCCACACCCTCCTTCCCTCACGCTGGCCTCAGTCACCTCGTCTTGTTGTGTGATGTCAGCATCCTATTGGCAGACCAAGTAACAACCTGAGGTGATTCATGACCCTTCCACACTCACCTTCGTATCACCTCTGTCCTTACTAAGTGCTGCTCATTTCACCTTCCACAGATTTTGAAACCCATTCTCACCTTCCCTTCTGTATTTCAAAACTATCCCAAACCATGGTCACTCACCGCTACCTGTTACGATCCTGGCCTCCCAACTAGCGTGTGTATGTCTTTGCTCACCGCCCTAAAATCTTTCCTCAACACGGTTACCTAAATGATGGTATCAAAATGCACAGCAGATCACATTGCCTCCCTCTCAGTTACTAAAGCCCTCAAATAGCCCTCCTGCTACTCTCAGGAGAAAGCCCAAAGCCCTCAGGGGAGCCTTGCACAGGCCTGCTATCTGGTCTGGCTTCCAGGCTTCCCCACGGCCCCACATCACACTCTGCTCCTCCTGGCCCTCTGGGCCTCACCCACTCTGCCCACCTGCTAAGCCTCAGGCTTGTGTCCCTGCCTGCCAAGGGCTGTTGTCTCCCCAGAACATGGTTCTCTTCCTGTCATGTATTGGCCTCACTATTTAGGTCAGAGCTTAAGCGCTACTTCCTGATGAGCACCTTCCATAGCCACGTCAAACTCCATCACGGGGCTCTCTTACTCTGCATGTGTCATGCTGCTTATGTTATTTCTCAATTATTATCTGTCTCCAACAATTGACAGTAATACCCAGGCAGCCAGACCACTCACTTCTGCGTCCCCCAAAACTCTCGTGTCTAACACTGTGCCTGGTACAAAACCAACTCTCCATAAAAACCTTTGAACAGGGGCCTCCCCAGCGGCACAGCGGGTTAAGCACAGCACTGTGAAGCTGTCCCGCAGCCTCTGCAGCATGGGTTCGATTCCGGCAGGCCAGGGAGATTCCCACATGGCGAGGCAGATCTCTCCTGTCTTGCCCACTGGAATGAATATTAAAAATCTAATTTAGGACTATCTTTACTGAAAAACAAAAACTAATAGACTATCATTAGAGTATTGAGATTGGTGTAGCAATGATGTATAAAGACTATACAAAGATAGGGCCTCCCCGGTGGCGCAGCGGTTGAGCGCTGGGTTGTGAAGCTGCCCGCAGCCTCTGTAGCACCGGTTCGATCCCCGGCTGCTCCCCGGCCACCGGAGGAGGGTCCCACATGGCGCGCAGACCTCTCCTGCCGCCCGCTGCTCCCCTCAGCAGTGTACTTCGGTCTTTCTGCTTGCTCTGCTCCCCGCTCTGGCTCTGGCGAATCCTCTCACCCTCCCGCGCTTCTGACTGTACCCAGTGCTTGTATAAATAAAAATCTTTAAAAAAAAAAAAAAAAAAAAAAAGACTATACAAAGATACTGGTCTACAGCGTCCAAAAAGAAAACTGAAATTGTACTTTACAACTTCAAGGTGCTGCTAGAATGGCCTCCGAAGAGAGACATGTGAACAAGCCAGCTCACGCGCGGTGTGCATACCCGCTGTCAGTGAACAGGAACTCCAGGTGGGCCATAAACACCTCGCGGCGGGAGACCCCGTAGCGCTGGGCCAGGGAAAGGGCGATGCTGCAGACGCTCTCCTCCAGCGTTCTTCATCAAGGTCGCCAGCACAGGGGAGAGAAGAGAGACACGTTACCTTAATCAGCAAAGAAAGCGTCCATGGGGCCTGCTCTCTAGCTGAGAGGGGTGCAGTCAGCACAGCCCTTAAGAAGACAGTTCACGGCAATTCAGGGCAAGTGCTTCCAAGGAACGTTAATGCTGTTCATTGCAGAGCATCAGATTGGACCGAGGAACTGTCTGGGTCAGCGGTTCACAGCGGAGGGTGATTTTGTCCCTGGGGGCTGCGGACGATGTGTGGAGACACACGTTTTCAATTGTTATGGCAGGCGAGGAGGGGGCAGGGCTACTGGCATCTGGTGATTATAGGTCAGCAGTGCTACTGTCAGCCCACGATGCACAGAGCAGGCCCCTCACACACACAGCAAAGGATTAACTGTCCAAAATGGCTGCGCTCTAAAGCTTCTCGGCCTAGACACTAGAGCCTCTTGGCTAAGGAGGCCAGGACGTTTATGTTCCCTTTGCCAGGACTGGCAAACACCTTCTGTAACTGGCCAGAGAGAAATCTGTCAGGCGTTGTACCACACAACCTCTGTCCCATAATCTTTTTATTGTTTTGGTGGGGGGGGTTTGTGGTGATTTTCCATAAACCTTTAAAAATATGAGCCATTCTTTGCTTAGCGACGATAACAAAGAGGCAGAAGAAAGAGTGCCTGTCAAATAAAAATCACTTCTTTGTGTCTGGAGCACCTGCCCCCACCCCACGGGATGAGGACTCCATGAGGAAAGGGCGTGTGGCCAGGTGGCCGCGCCACAGTGGGAGACGGGTGCACGGGTCCAAGCCCACTAAAGGCGGCGTCTTCATCCCTTGACAAAGGTGGGAAAGAACCAAACAGTGTGATGCCCTCTTCAAAGTCACCCTGACTGACTCCCGAGAACAAATTATACAAGCCCCGCAGTGGATACGGGCAGAGAGAAAGCACCTCCAGAAAACAGCCACCACTAGAACAGATGCACAAGAAGAAAATAAAGAATGGTCAGACTGTGTGCACCTGAAGGCGAAACTGCAGAGCAGGAGGACTCAGGCACTTCGACAATCCTGTGGGGAAGACACTGACTCTCGCCTCCAACTCAGAAATCCAAAGAAAACTGACATTTTAAACAAGACATCCAAAGACGGCTGCCGATTTTTTCAAGCAACAGATTGTGGAAAGGTTCTATTATATATTTATCAAAAGCATGTATTTGTCCTCTAGGACATACTTCAAATAGCATACACTAGCTGGATACCTTAAAAAGAAAATAAAGGACAAAAACCCCAGCAAGATGTAATTGGTGATGTAAGGCACGCCTGCCCTTGTAAACTTTTATTCTCCGTGATAACCTCTTCCGGGAAACCAGGAGCATGGCACCGAGGATCACAAAATGCCTGAAGAAAGAGGCCACAGGGCTTGGAAGTAGGAAGCATCTCTCTACTCCTGGCGTGTTACCACGGACAACTCCTTAAGGCTCTCTCGCTCTCAGATTCCTCCCCCCGAAAATGAGAAGGGTGGATTAAATGATCTCTTCAGTCTCTTCCAAACTGGGCATTAAATAAGTCTATGAGACAATGAACCTCTAGGAGGTCAGAGAGGAGAAAAATTATTCCATATTCTCTTCTTAACTGAACCTGCCATACTTCGTTCCTACTATCTTTCCCTGATCTCTCTAACCCTGCCCTGCTCTAAAGAGAATCTGGGATGCTTTCTAGTGGAAAGAATCCTAGGATAATGAAAATTACAGGGTACCAAAGATACTTTTCCACTACTTCAAAGATTGTAATAATGATAAAAAATAACATATCTCCCATACAGTCAGGACTATCTCTGTTATTTTTTGAGTGATTTATCAGCAGAGAGAAATGACCATTACACTTCATTTCAAAGGCCAGGCTGAACCGCATGCCAAGCTTCCTTGGAAAGGAATCAGCTGTGTGGGGAAGGCGCTGGGCGCTGTGGTGAAGACGGGATGGCCTTGATGTGGACAAACGGAGGTTGAAGATCACAGTTGAGATCCTTACCATCTATGTAAACTGGAGTGAGTTATCTACTGCATCTAATAAGCCTCATTCTCTTCAGTTACAAAATGGGGATAACAACATTTATGCCTAAGGGTTACCCCTAAGATTGCAAGATATTTATAAAGGGCATCTAATTTCTAACTGAATATACCAAATTGCCATGTACTTTGAGAAGTGAGATGCCCATCCATGAACAAAGGCTGCCATTGTTTGTTTTTAACTTTCTACGATAAGCATCACACTTGACCCCTGGTCATAGGCTATCACTTCTAACATGGTAATAATCTGAGGACTGAGTTATCAAAACCATGGGACATTTGAGAAAAAAAATTAATTCCCAGCCTTCCTACTTAAACCTGCAGTTTAAATGAATCAGTCTGCATTTGAGAATCCTTTGGGGAAAATGTGCGCGCGCACACATAACAGGCAGGAGGAGGGGAAACTTGGGTTGACAGCAGCCATGAAGGTAAACCTGCAAAGGACTAGAATTAAAAGCCCGAACAATTCAACTTATCCTACTGCATTTTAAACCCAGCCCTTTATGAGACAAAGGTATCTCTTACTCGGCCAGGCCCAGGATCGTCTCCCGTTTATACTGGTCATCTGCAGTGAACCGCTGCACGTCCACACCCTTTCGAAGGCCCTGCAGGACCTGAGCCTGCGTATAATCCAGAAGGCGCTCGTTGTAGTGGTGCAACTGCTTGCTCAGTGACATGAGGTCCTCGGGCCAGGCTTCGTGTCCGTGGCGTGTCATGTGCCTGGTGACCATCTTGATTAGCTCTTTAGGGTCAGCCTGTGAGTGACAACAAAGTAACAACAAGAGGATGACCGCAGCCACTGAGTACTTGCTCAGCCCTGCGCATGGTGGCTATTCTGTCCAGGCTCACACCCACCCGGGAAGACAGCTGCAGGCGGCAAGTTGCACGCCACAGAGGCAGCACAAGGACCTGAGTGGAGAAGTGGCTTCTGTGCTCCTGGTCTCTACTACAACCTTGAACATGCCTACCCAGGTAAAAAGTGATACATTCTTGCTTTTACTACTTCCACCAACCTACATCAGATTTGTGCCCCCATCATCTGCTCATGTATAACAAATAATTCACACTGTCATCACTGCTGCCCTGGATAAATTTTCTGTGGCCCATCTAAGTGCTCTTACCAACAAAGCTGCAGTTCAGTAATCCCACTACATTTGTCTAGACGGCTGAGGAGAAAAGTGTTTACTCTGGGGATAAATTAGGGGAAAACCCATCCCTGTACCTCAAATCATAAACACTTCTTGTTGCATAAGGAAGCATCCAACCAATTTTTATTCTGCTCAAATTGGGGCTCAGTGGGATACTGTTCTGTAACTCTTAGCAGTTTCTCTAACAACAATAAAATTATTCAAACAGAACAAAACCCAGAATACAACAGCTGACAGGAAAGGAAAACAAGTGATTAACTGGCCACATTTATTTATATTAAAGCTGGTCTGGGTGTCAACAAAGACACAGCAGCTTAGCCGTGATCTTGAAATTACTTAACAGGGAGTCTAATACTGGAACAAAATTAACTCAGTCACTCCCAGTTTCTGGGAAGACATGTTACATATTTTAATATAAGCAAATTAGGGAAAAATTCAAGAATCTACTTTTGGTTCTCAGAAATATACCTAATTATAGTAAGCTGTCAGCATTTCTAATGTATGAGCCATTATTCTGAGCTACAGAGAAGATCTGTCAATGTCGAGTCTACATTACCAAACCCAGTCTGACATTCTCTCTTGATCCTATTAAGAACAATCTGGAAGCACTGATAAAAACCAATTACCGAAATCTTGGATTCTGGCAGGTAGATTTAAGGAAAAGTCAACCTTACTAAACTTAATTATTTCCCTTGCCTTTATGCATAAACCCTACCTTCAAGAGCCACAGAGACATGTCTCAAGTCAAACGAACCTGGGTGTGAAAACTGACTTTCCAAAGTAATCTATAAGACCATCTTTTATTCACTCAACAAATATTTTGTGTGCGCCTATTATGTACCAGGTGATATACCAAGAAGATGTGACCTCTTCTTCCAGGAGTGCTGTCTACTAAGAGAGACAAGCACCCGAACACTGAAAATGGTGGGATACAAGGGTGCACAGGCACTCTAGGAACACAGGCACTCAGGAGGACCTGAACAGTGTCAATAAGTCTTCTTGGGAGAGTTACCATCTAGGCTAACTACTCAGGTTTCAGCAGCAGAGAGGCCAGCAAAAACTAGGGAGGTAAATTCCTTGTAGAGAGTACAGCACACACTCAGGTCTGGGTGGCTAAGACCTGTTGGAAAGATGGCGTGAATAAAGCAAATCTATCTGTAACTAGAGAGGGATCTGGAAATCAGCTGCAGATGGTGGTGTTTCTGGCAGTGGATTTAGGGGAAGAAGATCCATGTCTCAGCTCTTAGCTGACACTGAACCCAACCCCCTTCCTATTAATATTTGGTACTGAAGTCTTGACAGGTGGTGCCATGATCCGTTCCCCATGAGCTCAAGTCGCCCTGATGTTAGCTGGTACAGGGATGCCGCTCGTGGGCCGGCCAGCCCGTCTACCCCTGCTCTGCACCCTGGCTGTGCTCTGCTGTTGCCTGCGATCCATGCCTCAACTGGCTAGCCCAGCCATAGAGAGAACAAGAGTGAACATCCAATGGTCCAGATTTTCTGGTGATGAGAGAGCTCTTCTGTCATCATTGTTTTTATAGAGCTCCTCATGCCCTGCTTTTACACGCCACCAGTCAACCCACAGCACCAAAACAAAGAGAAAGGCCTTTTTGATGTACTTAGCTCCCTCACTCAGAACAGATGCAATCTTGGGCAAGTTACGTCACATCTCTGTTTCTTCACCTATAAAGAGAGTCAATAAGCACACTTTCTTTGGTTTGCTGTAAGGTACAAACAAGGGATCTTAAAGTACTCCTATTTTCCGTTATTATATGAAAGCAAATTGGGTGAGGGTTTTCTCTCGAGGAATTAAAAACTAGCAGCTGACAAAGACATACACATCAACTAATCACATGAAGCATCTGATATAAGCACCATAACAGAATCACAAACCAAAAGGCTGGGAACTCCACGGAGGGAACCAATAATCCCCTCCTGTGACTCTTCTGGGGCTTGATTTCTTCAGATGGAAAAAAGAGGAGCATCAGCAGATGATCACCTTTCAAGGACTAAAATCCTATGAATGCATACAAATTCAAACACAAAAATAAAATAAATCCTTCGTAAATCCCTCCAGGTGTGGAATCAGGCTCGTCTACATCTCATCTCATTTATGCCTCCACTGTGTTACAAACACAATTTCAGACCAACAAATGATGCCAGTAGAGTCCTACATGGTTTAAAGAACTTTAATCTCCTCTGTTGAGTAGAAATTATCTAGCCTCTCTGTGAAAAAAAATTTGATTTCATAGTCTTTGTATATTGAACTTGTTCACCTTTCTAAGAAACATTTAAGAACAACCACCTAATATCTGAGTCTCCAGCATGGGACAGGCACTGAGCTAAACATGCATGGATGAGCCTTTTAATACTAACGACCCTGTGAGACAAGCTACTAGGAGCATCTGCTTTACAGATGTGTAAGGCCCTGAGTCCCCAACTAAGGCCATTCTGGGGTAAGTGACAGAGTAGGGACTGGCTCCCCGAGAACCATCCTTTCTATCTGGTGTGCAGAAAGGGGTATCAGTACTGTAGGATCCTAAGACCAATGTACACGTGGGGACACCAAATGCAAATAAAAGTTGGCATCAGAGTCTTCGAGGACAGATGAAGAGCAGACATAATGCTCGCACTCTATTTTACATCCACATCAACTTTTTTTTTTTTTACACAAATACTCTCTTCCTCTTGTTCTTCTTATACATATATGCACACGTGTAACTACAAAGATAAGTGTTCAACCACATATCAGATGTGGGTTATAGTTCCAACCTTTTTTTCCCACCTCCAATGACAGAGTTTTAGAACAGATCAAATTTAGAATACCATTTTCTGTTCATTCCCTTGATATAAATAAATCACCGTTTTAAAATTCTGTGCTGAGAAAGTGGTGAATCGGGTCATTCAAGTAATTCCTCGATGATAAACTGCTAAGGGTCTTCAAGTTTACGGGTCATCAAACATTTGTTAAGTGTCTAGGAGGATTTTAAATTCTTCAATTTATGGTATAAAACAACACTAATGAAAAGAGGCAAATGAATTGCAAAGGCTTCCAAGAAAAAGGAAAATTAGGAGGAAAAAATAGGAACTGACATCCAAGAACCCAGATGGCTGGCTCTTCCCTCCTGCGCATCAGGATTTTCATGATTACAATTGAAGCAGTTTCTGTATAGAGTCCTCACAAAGACTAAGACAGGGAGACAGGAAAGAGGGTGCTGTAAGTTCTAGTTCCTTATGGAAAGTGTTTCTTTTTTTGCTACTGCTTTCTATCCCTTCCTCAAGGAACTTTACTGGCCATGATAATTTCCAATAGTCTATTTAAATTTAAATAACATTCTCCCCCAAAGTTATCACAATGTCTGTCAAAGCACCCCCTCCTTACCCAACATCTCATTTCATATATTCTTCACTTACCCCACAAGTAAACAGTGTTAAGTCTCTAGAGGGCGGATGTGCGTGTTTCACGTGACCCTCACTCCAACCCACACCGCTCCTGGTGAGCAGGTGCCCACCCAAACCGCACACCGTGGCTACGTCTCCAGAGAAGACTCGACCATTTTGCTTCATGGTCTTCTCCCTTTCTAGATAATGTTGTTCGGAAAATTTTAAACAGGTGGTGTATTTCCCCTTCAGGGCTATTATTTGCTTGAGATGATTTTCTACTGAGTATTTTCAATTAGTAGCTTAAAAAAATCACATTTTAGAAATAGTCTACCATAAAGTTTTGAACTTCATCCCCTGCTGGGTTTGCTTCCTAGCATATAAAATTAAAGGACATGTTTCCATTTTTAACTGATCTTATCTTCTGAAACTTTTAAAAGAACACTAAAAAAAAAAAAATCACATTAAGATGCACTTACAATAATTATAAGAGCAAGATATAAGTGAAAAAAAAATCAAGGAGAAAACAATGGGCAGAGTTTACTCACACTTGTATAAAAATTGCTATATAGACGTGTAGATCCATAAACTATTTCTGGAAGGATAGAAAGGCGAAACACTGACTTTTTATTGTATATCATCTTCACCATGTGAATTTTTGGCCCTGTGTGCAAAAACAAGTTACACAGGACAGATACTAGAAGAGAAAATTCTTTCCACTGACCACCTGCCAATCACCATGACACATTCATCCTCCCATGCCAAAGCTCAGTAGAAGCTGACGGCACGCGAGGAGCTCAGGGGAGGGTGACAGACCAGCTGACGCAGCGGCCTTCCAATACTCTGTGTTCACGAAAGGCAGAGCACAGGGCCAGCAAACCTTAATACTGAGACACATGTGGGAATGGAAGAGGGAGATCCCACCTTAGCCCTTGGATTCCAGGTCAATGACATCCTCAGGGCCTTCCTGGTGGTACAAGGGGTTGGGACGCAACCTAGGGAGCTGTCCGTAGCCGCTGTGGTTCGAGTGCGATCCCCAGCCAGGGAGCTACCCACATGGCGAGGCAGACCTCTCCTGTCTCCCCGCTGCTCCTCTCAGCAGTGTATTTCAGTCAGTCTGCCTGTTCTGTTCCCCACTCTGTCTCGGGTGAATTCTCTCACCCCCCCACACCTCTGGCCTGTACCCCAGCTCTTGTATGCATAAATAAATAAATCTTTAAAAAAATATTATCTACACAGAAATCTCAAATAGATTTTAAGGATGCAGTTTCTGGGGGAAATCAAGTTTATTATAAGGCACAGTGCTTTTGATGCAGTCAAGCTTCATTGTGTTTCAACATACCTGGAGTTTTGGAGCAAATTAATTGCGCCTTGTGCACAAACAGAGCGCTACTGAAGGATAAGGGTATTTGGAGGTAGACACCAGTCAGCGTGCCTGGAGCACTCTTTGCCAGCCTTTCAAATGAATGTGGCCAGAAAGACATTAAATACACCATTTCAGAAATAATTTTGCCACACTTCACCCATATAATCACTTCATTCACTCAATTTATAACACAGTAGGTCAATGCTCAATTATTTCACATAAAAGCAAACAAGGGAAAATGACTAGAGTATAAATAAAGGAACCATAAAAAATGCTATCAAAAGTAAAGCCAATCCTTCAGTGTTTTCACTCAGAAACTAACAAGCATATACAAAAGTTTTCTGAAGCTTGCTAGCAAGTAGGCAGAATATGTTTCCACATTTCATCTGTCTGATTACTGCTCCAAATCCCTGACTTAAAAATAAAGAAAAGCACAACACTGCTCTAAGAATTCTGCTGGCTGCATTCCTAAATTAGACAGTCATCTCCCAGTGAATTAAAAAGTCAGTTCTTCATTTCACCTGCCCTACTTCCTTAGCCTTTCCCCAACACCTTTGCAAACTCAAGTAAATGACGGACTCTCCCCGGGGATGAGTCAGCACCCACAGTGAGCATCAGGAAGTCTACTTCTTGCTGATGCCTGGAAAAGCAACCGAGTCTAACACAGACAAGGCAAGAGCTGTTGACCACCAGGAACACACTCTGGATACAAAGCCCCCTCAGAGGGATAAACCCATGTCTTAACTCTTTTGGAAATGTCTTAACTCTGCTTATTAAAAAGTGGGACTCAGGAGGACTCACCCTGTACAGAGGATGGCACTTGTCGCTGAAACACGGAGCCAGCCGGGCATAGATCTGTAGGCTGTAGTAATAGGCAGCCAGCTGGAGAGACAAAGCAGAGTGGGCCTGCTTCTCAAAGCACCTGTTAGCATCTAAAACCTGGGAGGAGAGATGGCACAGTGAGCTGGGCTGTAAGGACATGAACACCACCACCATAAATCAGTATATTTCTAGTCATTACTGCAGAATTTTGATTCCAAGTTCCCATCATATCAACTCAAGTTCAACTTAACATGACTATATTAAAATTCAGAAGACCATTTAGGGAAGAGCCCATGCAAGAAATGTTGATTTAAACGTCAACATTTCAGCTCACACTGTAGAAATTACTCTCTGGATACTGACCACAGTGCTCACACCACCCAAGAACAATCAGAAGGAAGCAAATCATATAATAAACAATTTGCTGGTGAAAACCCTCAGTATAATTTTTAGCTTTTTAATTTTTAGTTTTTATTTTGGAGTCCTTCCTGGTAAAGGCAAACTTACCTGTGGTAAAGCAAGGAGATATGCAAGGGCCAAGGTCATGTCATGGGGGAGAGCATCGCTTGCTAGCTGCAAAAGGACTGAATCAGGGAGGAAAAATGAAGAGTTACTAAGTGCAGGTGATGTGTTCTAGAGGATTCAGATCAATGGCTTCAGAGGCCTTTTTAAGACCCTTCATGGAAGTGTATGCAGCACATCTAAAGACATCACACAGAACCATGCCAAGTGCTAACTTGACCAGTTGTGCTTTTGTTACATAAATACAAGGAAATTCTGTTAGTGTGGCTGCAACTGCAACAGATGGGCGAGAACAGCTTCTTACAGTGAATCTTCTGGCTTTAAAAATGCAGCTATAAATGGTGTTGTGGAAGAATGACAATGGAATACTATAAAGCCCAAAGCAACAGAACAGATTCACGAGAGCAAACCCCTGGTGACCATGTGATCACTGTAATGACGGGGACCTGGGTTTGCTTCTTCTAAAACCACAGCCCTCTCTCACCCTCCACAAAAAGACGCCTGTCTCTTGTTTTGGTTTTTAATCTCTTAAAACATACCAACCATTAGCAACTTTTCCACAAAAATCTTTATATAAGCAACAATCTGTCCATGTCCTAGTTTTAATAAAGTTTACATTTATACACAGTTTGCATTAATAAGGAAGTATTCCATTCACTCAAGGTCGGAGCAACAAGTACATTCAGGCAGTTATATATAATGAAAATATCAGTCCTGAATTTTAAGGAACCCAGAGCGATGATCTGCACGAACGAGGGGAGCAATATGTGAGTATATAACTGTGGGAAGGCACCATATGATTTGTTCTTCAGAAGATCTGCCTTCGTAATTGTGTCTTGCTTGGACTAAAATGTAAGTCACCTGTATCACCTGAGCTCAGCTGACTGTCTGGGCCGAGGGGATGGTGAGGGTGGGGAGCAACCTCTGAGCAGGTGACACGCCAGAGGCAGGCCCGACCAGAACTCAAGATCTCCTTCCTCTGCGCGTGGCTGGTTCACCGAGGAAACCTGGGCCTTCCCCACTGTGCCTCTGCAAAGAACATCAGTTCTCTCCACGCCCACTTCCCACGTGTTCTCTAAAACTTATGAACTAAACTGGACCCTGAATCAGTCCAGATCTCCCAAGAAATCATAATGCTCTAAGTATGTTTTCTACTCAAAAGCTACTCATTAAAAGGCCAGTTTCCCTGAACCAGACACTGCCCCTTGGGAATAAGCACACTAGGACCAGGGAAAGTTTCCAAGTAACTAACTTAAAACTACAATGCAAAGGGTCCAAACAAATTCTGCCAAACAATCATGAGAGCAAAGAAGATGGGTGAATATACCATAAGGGGCTACCACAAACTGAAGGATGAAGTGGTTAGGCTATATGTTTTGGGCACCAGACAATAAAGCAAGAAAACTCATGTAAACTTAATCGCCTAAAAATTTTGAACTACTTGAAGAAAATTTACTTGATTCTACTTATTATACCCACCCCTCCCCACAGGCTGCTATTTTCACCTGTATCTCCCTACACATGATCTGGATAGAGATGTAACGTTTCAGTACCGCATTTTGGAGAAAAATAAAATCCAATCATTTCACATGCTAATAATTCCCCCCTAGGAATTTCATTTCTCATGGAGTCTTTATATGGTGACCAACCTCACCTAGTTTTGTTTTTTTTCCATACCGATTTTAATTTTCTTCAGTTATTTCCCTTTTTTATGCACAAAAGAGGTCTATTTTCAAATGATTGTGTCTGAGCCCACTCATCAGACTTAGCCCTCGAGTCCTCAGGGAGCCCCATCTCAGAGGCCTGGTTGGGCCAGTCTGAGGCCCACTTGACAAAATCAGTGCCTTTACTACTTTCCAATCAAAACTACCTTTTTAAAATCATATCAACTCATCTTTCATTTAATTTAGTGTGCTTCTGGTCGTTTCCAAAAACCAAAGCACCCTGTGGGGGTGAAAATATGCTACCACTGAAAATATTCCAAAGAAAGAAATTCTAAAGCAAAACAACAAAATAGAATCAGGCAAGGACAACACAGTAATAAAGCAGAGTCCTCTCTGAGGGGGAGACTCTTCATCTGAATACATAAGTTAAAGTGGGTTTGTTTTTAAAATAGTCTGTTAGGTTTTAGATACAACTCACAAGATGTCACTGGCAGGTCTTGAACACACAAAACTGAACACAGAGCTTGGAGTTGGCAAGAGAGAAAGGAATGTCCTCCAGCTCAAAGTCATGACCAAACCCACCCAGAATGGAGCCTGCTGGATCACCTTGGTGATTTGTGCCAAAAAGTGAAAATAATCACCCCACAATATAAATGTCTGCCCCAAACAACATCCACATGTATTTTATTTCATATGTGCAAATGTATTAATCGCTGTTTTTATTTTATTTATTTTATGATACCTTGGCATCTTGGGGAGCCCTTGTTAACCCTCGAGGGCAGGCCCCTGCCAGGGCTAGCTAGTTCCTCCAGACAGAAAACAACCCTATCAGATGCCTTTGATGCAAACCTACCAACTCAAGTCATCCTCCAGAACCACTTCCTTAGCTTTCCACCCCAGAAGTAGCATTTCTCTGCCCTCATCACCCCAGGGCCAGGTACTAGACAACAAGGGCCACCATTATAGCCCCAAATTATCCAAATTATTAACCTTAAACTCTCTCATGCTTGCCTACCATACCTCACCCATACCTTGCCATGAAAACCACAGTGAAGGCTTTGCCCAGGTTTTCACCTCCAGCTTTTTGCATCCAGACTGACCTGACGCTGACCCTATGTGAGCTGTTTTTATGCATCTGTGAGCACACACTTCTTCCTTTATCAACAGCCATTTCCATGTGTGGCCACCTTACCCTTTGCCAAAAAAACCCCAAAAAACAATATTTTAGAACAACGCCTAAAGCAACACATAAATATACCTCTAGCCTACAAAATCAAGCAGAATTATACAGCAGAAAGCAAACCATCTTCAGAACCAGAAAAGTCTGGGATCAAGGCTAAGCTCCACCACTGCCACAGTGTGACCCTGTGTTCTAGATGTCACAATGCTCTGGGTTTTTAAGGAAGTTATGCTGCACTGAGGCCGCGCATTACGTGACCACCTCGGCAGCAGAGCCCTCGGCAAGCAGGAACGAGGCCACAGAACTTGGGCTGCTCAGCTAGAATGGGGTGTGCAAAACCTTAACCTCAGGTCATTTTCGTTACCAAACAAGTCACAAAATACTCTTTTGTCTTTCAAAGCATTTAGGATTTGGGGATGAATCCTCACTGTAAACTAGCATCAAAAGAGATGGAGTATGTAAGACACATAGGAGGGAAGCACCTATAAGTTCCCTGCCCCCTCTATAAACTATAACTTGAGGGAACAGTGATGCTCTACAGTTATCCAGGTTTTGACTTCTCTCTAAAGATGATGGATAGTAGTTTTTTCCATTAATAACTGCCACAGCAGGAACAGAGGCAATTATTTCCATTTTAGATAAATCACAATTATTAACAAGTTAATGACTGCTTTTAGGCATCTAGACTAATTTCACAAAGAAAAGTCACACTCGATCATCTGATGAGCTTGCTCTCCACCCTTACTGCTGCTCAGCTTCGTCTCACTGGGTGCCGGGACCCCACAACCTCTCTATGGAAGAAGTTAGCTGTTTTCCTCCTACTTACAAAAAGAGAATTTAAAATAGTGAAAAGCCCTTCTTTTCTATTTGCCCAGCACATAAACAAATCATCCCAACCTTGAAGAAAACGTTCTTCTCTGGAGACCTAACCATTCTAACACACTCAACAGTCTCCTCATTCCTTTAGTGCGCAAAACTCAGTAAATGTGGGGTCCACCCCTACTGCACCCAGTACTGTGACAATCTTTCCTCAAGCCCCTGAAACTGAGCTCCACACCTGGTGGCCTCTCACTCTATCCCACCGCAGCACCCAGCACTGCTAACCAGCCCCTCCTTGGACTTCAGGGTCCCGGGCACCCCGGCATCTGCTCCCTCACTGCGTGTGTCAACAAACTTCTCTTCCCCTCAGATGCTCGGTGTGGGCACTAGGCTGTTTCCTCACTGTCATTTAACCTCACATCATGCTTTCACCCTGGGGGGACCTCAACTAGGTGCACTTCAAGCATTTCCAACTGCCTGTTGGACACTCCCACAGTTCCCCGACTAAATATTCTTCACCCAGTCTCTTCATGTTTCTGGAATTAGCACACGATTCTCCCAATAAAACAAACAAAATCCCGGAGTCCTCTGGACTTCATGCTCTCCTCTGTACCAGCACTCAGGTATGGGTTCCATCCTCTGAGCCATGTCCAAAAACTCACACAGGCCTCCTTCCTATTTCCATGGTCACAATCTCAAGCTTTGTCTCTCATTGTTTAAAAGCTGAACTCTCTCAACAACTCCCAACTCAAATTCCTTCTGTCCTTTTCCTTCCATATCATTCCTAAAACAGCATTTTCCTATGAATTCTAATCAAGCTCTCCAAAGTTAACTCTTTCCATCTTACTTACACCGCCCCCCATCCAAAGATCTCCAACTTTCCAGAAAATGTAAGTTAAATTTCTTAATTGGCATCCAAATCTCCATAAACAGAAGGCAGCCTTAGTTTGTGGCTAGAACTGCCATTATTCTCACTCTGGCCACCAGTCAAATCAGTCTGACTCTGAAATGACTCATCTCACACCCTCTACCTGTGCTCCTGCCATCCTTTACATACTACTACTGCTCGTCATCATCACGGTGATTTTAATATCTGCTCTGATGAGCCATGAGATAGGTGTTGTGCACGACTGAGCCTAAGTGTCACAAAAATCCCACAAAGGAGATAGTATTTTGTTTTTACATAGGCTTGCAAAGTTAATATAAAACACTCAAACTCGGAAAGGAAGTTAATCTGTGACGAGAGCGCTATGAACTGAGTGTTCATGTTCTCCCTAAGTTTGTATGCTGAAGCCCTTATTCCCAAGGAGATGGTCACTGGAGAGGGGCCTTGGGAGGGGACCAGAATTTAATGATGTCTGAGAAGTGAGACCCTCATGATGGGGCCAGTGCTCTTTGAGAAGAGAAAGCAGAAAGCTTGTGAGCTATTCTTTCTCTCTCTCTCTTCTGCCTCATGCCAGCCAGGAGGCAGCGAGTGCAGGTCAGGAGGAGGCCCCCACCAGAACCCCACTAGCCTCCTGAATTCTGACTTCCAGTCTCCAAACTGTCAATACAAATTTCTGGTGGGTAACTCATCCAATCAATGGTGTTCTGTTCTGGCTGCCCAAACTCACTGATACAGACAGGAAACAGGAGATCCGAAATAAGATGAATATCAGAATCAGCCAGGCTACTGACAAGCCTCTGCTATTACAAGCAACGAACATATGTCCTATTTTCCAAGCATGTTAATGCAGTCACAGGATACAGCAGCAGAACAACCAGGTCAAGCAACACCCCCCACTGCACTTTTCATAGTCAGGCCCTCCCTAACCAGCCACCGTGTGTTTTCTAAATGCTCGCGTCAAGCCAGGTCCTCATGGCGGCATTTCCACCGGGATTGCCATTTCGCTTGCACAGCTCACCCCTTGGACGCCCATTTGCCCATTTCTCCAGAGGCTTCTTGACATCTACTCTCATGAGCCAGGATGAGAAACCTTAAGTTGGGGGAAGTCAGACCACTCAACAGGGTACAGCTCCCTCACAGGAGCTGACTCCTCAGAATAGTCCCAAAAAAAGGCACCAGGCTTTCTCTTTCCCTTCCCAGGGAGCAGTGATCAGACGTTAGCCCCACTTTCATCAATGAAGCCCAGTGAAACCCAGAATAATTATTCTAGTTCTTTGGTGATGGGGTTCCCTTATTGGTATAGCCCACAAGCAGATGAAAACTATACACTCCGGAAAAAGTATCAAGAGCACATGTATGGAGGCTGGAGAGGCTCAGAAGAGGCAGACACCGGACGGCAGGTTCCACCTGCAAAACTGCAAGGCCCCATTCTTGCAGCTTCCATTCTGAGGACAAATTCCCACCTGTTTCATGCCAGGCAGTAAAATTCAGATAGAAAAGCTGACATCGTAAAGAACCAGAGCCCTGGAAACCCACAATAGCTGGAAAGTGAAAGAGGTTCTTACACAACTAACAAGCACATACTCTTGGAGCAAGTCTACCTTAAGAGCTTAGCCAGGAGGGAGACTGCACGACCAAAGAAACACTTGCACACAAAAGTTCACGGCAGCTTTCCATAGAATCCAAAAGCTGGGAAGGCCCTGTAGCCTTCTGTTGCCTCTCACAGAGGACGGGTAACTCGGGACAGCCAGGCCATGGAACGCCTGTGACCAGGGGAGGCCACCTGCTGACACAGGCCACACAGATGAATCTCGAAGACTTTCACTTGGCATTTTACATAGAAGAACACATACTGTACCATTTGCTCATTCCACTGAGCGAATTCTAAAAACAATCAAAAGAAATCCACAGCGAGGGAAACAGCAGCACAGGTCCCGCGGTCAGCGCGAGGGGCGGAGGTGGCCGGGAACTGGGGCTCCTTGCCATGACAGTGATGTCCTCTGGGCTCACACAGGTGGCGAACTCGTTAAAAGCTATGGCTTTTGGGCTTTGTTTGCAAATGATGTCCCAGAATAAAAGGAATAAATATTAACTCCAGTTAAAGAGATGTGTGGCGCAGTGCTCGGGGGAAGGAGACAGGCGCCTGCAACTCTGAAGTGCTCAGAAATAAGTCAATGTGCCGGGCGGACAGAGGGAGGGTGGCGAGGTGACCGCCCAGATAGTTCAATGTGATCTGTAGTGGCCATGGAAGTTCACGGTAGAATTTAAATTTTCTGTACAATGGAAAACTTCCTTCAAAAATATTGGGGGAAGGAAAGAGAAAAATCCTCTGTGATAACTGTGTCAAATGTTCAAGCTCCTTGTCAGGTACTGATTTCCCAAATGGGGCTTCCAGAAAGGCACTGCTGGACAGGTTTGCCCACCTCAGCTCCAGTGCTCGGGCAGCGGCGCTTTCTGCCACACAAAGCCCATGACCTCCCAGCTGCACCAAAACTGGGGAAATCACCTGTGACCCCATATGTCCCAGGCTGAAAGGAACGGGATCGCTTCCCCAACCCCTAACATAATTGCTGAAGTTACCTCTTGACATCTTTTCTCCCACAACCAGATCACAACTCATTAATATCTGAAACGCGGGTTCCTGGCCCAGAGCCCCTACAGACTAATGACTAAATTGTTAAAGGAAACTAATTGTAGGAAGGGGAGGACAGGGAGGTGGATGATTCGTGTCTCTACCAACTTTCTCCATAGCCCTCCCTGAGACTCGAGATTCGTACAAAGTAGAAGCCAAACCTCACATATATGAAGGTCTTCGGCCTTGAATCTGCAAGCCATGTGAAGCAACATTTGCCAAAATTATCAGTGAGGACCTCAAGTAGATTGATCCCACGGGATCTTAGTGGGGCTCACCAGATGTCACACTGGCTACACTCTGAGATGCAGCGATTTTACATTACCATTTAAGATACCTATTTACACACACACACTCACACTCACTCTATATTTAGCAGTGCATGAATTTAATTTGCAATGCTTGTTCTCAAATTCTAAATACAATACATTTCCAAAACTAGTTAAACAGTCAAAATCAGATAAAATGTATGCCTGAGGCTCAAGCACTAATTCTGTGCAAAATAAGTGCCTCTGGAAAATACTCTGATTAATTTAATTTCAGAACTAAATTCACAGAGGAAAGCTGCCCATATTATTGATTTTGAAATCATTAACCATTAAATCATTCATTTAGCTAAATAAATAATGATCAATTTTCTCCAGCTAGTCTCCATAAAAACCTTTTCATCAACTTTATTAAAAAACGCAGAAAAGTCCAATCATGTTGGGAAGTTTAATTTGTATTATGACCTACTTCTGAGCCAAAGTCGAGTCACATTTTAACCATGACTTTTTAATTTGGGTCATTTAAGCCGTATCACTTCAGGGCTGAGTTTCTGACAAATATTTGCTATTATAAAATAGTCAAAGATCTCTGTTTAAGATATATTAGCTTTATCAAGCTACCAAACGTGACTGTGCTGATGAAAACGCTTCAAATATTATAAATCCAAAGGTAAATTACTGGGGTGATTGTTACTAAAATCACCTTTATATTTTAAAAAAATTACATTCTCAATACACACAGGAGGTGCTCTGAGGGGGTTCCCTGTTCAATTCAACAATATTTGAAAAAGCTGTGTAATTCCTTAGCGTCCTTGGATTCTTTTCCTTGGTAGAAAACTAAAATCTGAATGTCAGAAATGATACTATGAAGACAGACCAGGACAAAAAGAAAATCCCTGCAGTCCTGCTAAGCCCCACCAGACACCACAAAGCAGAACACATGTGCCCTGGGAACCGAGGCTCAGTGTCAGCGAGTGCACCCCACCTCCTGCCACGATGACGGCCACACGCACCAGGCCAGCCCTTCCCATGTGCAGAGACAGGCCTCACCCCAGCTGAACGGAAAACGCTCACTGCCCTGGCCAGTCTCAGGAACAGAGATACGGCGCTGAGACCAGCACACACATAGATCTTACTCCCTCTTCCTAAATATCCAGAGAGATTCTCCCTCTCCCTATCCACCTTTCCTTCAAATTTTCTCTCTCTTCTCACTCACATTACTCTTTTTCACCCTTCAAGCTCCAGGTCAAGTATCACCTGCTCCAGGAGGCTCCCAACACGGCTCTACTCGCCTCTTGTAACCCGTGTCACACAGATGTCTCCTCCCCACCTGCAGGGGCTGTGTCTTCTTCAACTTTCTACCCCAGGTACCAGGACAGTGCCTGGCATGGGGGCCCAGGCCGCTCCTTCACCAAGTAACATGCACGCGATGAGGAAGGGGCTGGGGCCCTCTGCTCATCACCAAGTAGCATCATAGCGGAGAAAACTCCTCCATTCGCTTCATGTCTGAAGACCACTTTGAGGCCTCACCATGCAGTTACCAATCACAGCAAAGATGATCAAGTGCTCTGAGAATCCTCTTGAAGGAGGAGGTTTAATAGCCCAGAAGTTTGGGCCTCACACAGGCTTTCTGCTTTCTCAAAACTCAGCTCTGGGGAAAACAGCCGCCATTAACAAGCTGAGGCGTCTGTCCTAGGAGACAGTCTGCCCCACGAAGGCCTTTTCTACTTTCCAGGTGAACAGAAAGAAAATAGGATCTCGAAGAGTACAGGTGAGCTGGTTCTAGCCCCCCTGCATATGTTTAATTTTTTTTTTTTAAATGTTTACATGGGAAAGAAATACTACCATGAGGAAAATTCTCAAGATGAAATACAATCTACATTGTGACGCAACGCTTAGAAGTTGTCAAGAAAGAAATACTTACTAAACACTTTATACCACTGGCTAGAAAAATCACTTTATATAATTAGCAGCTTAACGATAGGAATTGTATCATACTTCTCTTTTTATATCTTTAATATTAGTAAGTGTCCAGAAAACAACAGGTACTCAATATGTGTTTTGAATGAATGATGGTGTTAAGCTCAGCTATCCAAAATTACAGAAAATTTATTGTTTCCCACTCTCCATCAGCGTTCTCCTAACATGAGTGACACGCTGTCAAGGAACCAGAACCTTCTTTCATACCTTCTGTTGTTGGAAACACTTCTTCTCCTTCAGTCTTAGTCTCCGCCAGTTTTCCAGTTCTCAGCAAGACCTCTGCAAAGCTTTCCAGTGGGATGTGTTCAGAGGGGTCATAGGTTACTTGAGACTGGATAAAGCAAGCAGTTACGCCAGTTTAGTAGGGGTCTGTTTTTCTATTCAAATATTCTTTGAAAGCAAAATTATGTATTTTTCTATCTTCTAGTAACATTCTCACTTATTACAGCCTATTATTTTACATAGTATTTTAGACACATTTTAATCTCACGTTATAAAGTATAAAAAACAAACTACGCAAAGCTAATGAGTTACGTAAGCACAAAAGCAAAGAAGTACATTTTCAGAAAAATGTTTGTTTCTACTAAAATGCCACAGCAACATGAGAGTTCAATCTGCAGGTACACTTTCCTTACCTCTGTGACAAAGGGATTGGAGATCACAGATTCATAAAAGGGATGACAGCTTTGTCTTTCTAGATCTTCATTGGCTATGGTCCCAACTTGATAAGCACCATCCAATCCCTGCCCCTAAACAGAACAAAGTGATGAAATGAATATAAAAAGAGAGCTGGCGGGAGGGAGGAATGAAGGACAGACAAACCCACTTCAGGAGAAAATGATGTCTCTGCATCACGTTCTAAGGAGAGGACGCTGTGGGCTGCTGATGTCCAGTGGGGATGCAAGAACCGCTGCGACAGTTAAGAGCAGCTCGCCAGCGCCCCCTGCAGTGCCTCTTGCTTTCACTCGTCACTGTGACACCACCCCTCAGAAGCACTGAAGCATGGGCGGAGTGTCCGTGCAAGTTTTCTGTGCTATAGTCCGAATAAGCTTTGTAAAACATCATTAGTGTCTATTGGGCCCCTGCTCAAAAATCTTTGGTAGCTGAAAACAATGCTAAATAGCCAGAATATAAAAATCTAAGCTATGCAGAACATTTAAAGTTATCAAATGTTAATTAACAATAAAGACGAACTCACTCCAAACACACTGATCTATTTTATGCACTGCACAGGCCTCTATGGCTTTCTTCTATTGTAAAGAAGATGTTCATTCTGATGCCACCTTTCCTTCCAGGCCCACCTTAGCCCTCACCTGCAGAAACCTTAGCAGACGGAGGCAAAATGCAGTGACATCCCTTGACTATCCCCACATCTTCCGCCACTACATCCCACGGGATACGAAACTTGCAGCTCCCTCACCAGGAAGTACTTGAGTATCTCTAGTGAGGTTAACTACCTTCAAGTTTTACTTCCCTCAAATGGATTATAAAGCTCCTAATTGGGAGAACCAAGAAAAAGACATTCACCAATTTCTGCAGTTTACTGAAACTTATTTTATGCCAAGCATAGCCTGAGAAACAATGAAGCTGCACCGTCAGACAACCTAAGACATAACCCTTCAAACAGTCCAATAGGTGAGACAGAAATGCAGCCACAATCATAACCCAGGGTGACACATGCAGTGACAGGAGAGGCACAGGTTTACCCCAAAGTCAGTCACATTGAGATGCATCTTTCCATCATCCATCGTTCCCTCTGTCCTGCATATCACATGCAGGTCCACGTCCCACTCTCCCCACGCTCGCCCCACAGCAACCACCACTTTCCACTGGAGCCCTGGAATAAAGACCTGACTCTGTTTCTCCTCCCACCAGCTCCCCACACATAGCAGTTAAATGACTTCATTGAAAGTAAAGCATCAGATCACACACCTCATTGTCTAAATCCTCCAACAGCTTTCCCTCTCCCTGAGAATAAACTCCACATTCCCTACCACAGTCCACAGAAGGCTTGCTATGGCTGGCCTCCCTGACATCCCTGTGCTCTCCTGCCCTCCCTCCCCTTCTGCCTGCTCATGCTACAATGGCCTCCTTTTCATCCTAGAGGCCTCAAACACATTCCCTCAACAAGGGCTGTGTGCTTGCTCTTAATCAGGTTGCTGCTCAAAGGGATTCTTCTCCTAAGAAATCTCACTTCCCCATTCCTGCAAAATGCATAAGGAACGAGGTAGTAACTAAGTATTTGGGGTGAATTTAACAGCAGGCGCTGTTTCCTTTTCCTTGTACTTTTTCAATAAAAGAAAAGCACTGTAGTGTGGGGGCAGGGAAGGAGCAGGGAATGAGGGGTTCAGAGGGCACAGAAAGGAAGTGACTGCTCCACTGCCTGTCCTGAGCAATCTGACAAACTGCTGCCCTTAGCCAGAGACCCCACTAAAGAGGGAATGTTTGTGGCCTCCCAAAACTCATCTGTTGACACCCCCAGAGTGAGGGTAGGAAGAGCTAGAGACTTTGGCAGAAGATTAGATCATAAAAGAGACTCTGGAGACCCTACCCCTCCCACGAGTGAGGACAACACAGCAAGGACAAGGCTGTCTGTGAGCCAGGAAGAAGCCCTCACCAGACACTACGGCTGCCAGCCTGGTTTCCCAGCTTCCAGAACTGCGGGAATTAAATGTTTGCTGTTTAAACCCCCCAGTCCATGATGCTTTTGCCACAGCAGCCTGAAAGAACCACAACAGCCCCCATGATGGCTCGTAGTGCTATTCCTTAGCCACAAGCCTGTAGAAAAACTCTAAGTAAGCTTTGAGAAATTATTTTCCTTTTCATCCCTAAACTTTAAGTATGACAAATAAGCCAAACCGTCCTTAAATTTATCTCAGTCTTTTACAAGTAACCTAGGGGAGTATATCCCATTCCATGAAATACTCATTCCCTACTTGATGGGAGGCATCAATTTCTTAAGCGATTATTTTAATAATCTAGAGAAGATAAAGCTGTGACGACAGTGAAGATGACGAAAGCTGCGCTAAGGAACACAGATAAACCACCCAGCTGATCTGTAAGAGAAGAGAGAGCCCACCTGGAGGGGCCGCAGGTAGCTCAAAGACCGCTTCCACCAGTGTCCGTCGCTGACGGCCTGCAGCGCGGCCTTAGTGGTCGTCGTGGTTCGGGAAAGGACTTCCATGGTGGTGGCTGCGGTCCAGTGGAAGAGGTCGGATGAGTGGCTGCCGGGAACACCCACTTCATCCTGTATGAAAAAAGAAAAAGGCAAGAGTAAAAATGAGCACTATCCTGACAGAGCAGAGAGTGGCAACATGACCCCTTAACACGAGAAGATACATTTTAAAATCCCTGTTGGCTAGTAACAAGACAGGTGTGAAACAAAGAACCAATACCTCCTTGAGTCACTGAATCATTTACAAAAGAAAATTTGGTTTTAAAGGAAACAAAATCAAAGTTTATTAGTCAAATAATCCCTGTCAGAATATTTATAATCCAAGTAATGTGTGTTCTTTATTTTTTATCAATCTAATATCCTAGCAGTGACATACTCATGTTTGTCTCTTTGACAAGACACTTTGAAGTACTTATTACTTAGAGTAAGAAAAAAAAAAATATTCATTTCAACAACACAACTGTGACCCAGACAAAGGCAGAGGATTCAGATGAGCCACCTGAAATGTTGAAAGGTGTTTCGTTTTTCATGTAAACAACTGGGTGATTAACAGTGTTTAAAGGTTCATGACATAGAATTTCCGGACAGTCTTGAAACAGTCAGCTAAAAGACTAACGCTCTCCACTGACTAGCCCAGGAGACTCCATGTGGAGAAAAATGGCAACATATTAACATTCTTTTAAATTGAAATGACAGTGACTACATTTGTGTTTGATCAAAGAAAAATAATTGCTTTATAAAGTTCATCATTTAGTATCTAACTACATCTACTTAATTTTTCTTAAGTATCCCAATTAAATGAAAGCAAAGTTAAGGTCTTGTTTTTCCATTTAAATAGCTTTTGTTACTAGTAATTGCTTAGACTATTTAGGTTTATATGACATCATTCATTAATATGTCATTCAAAAGAGTAGGGGAAAAAGGACAATAGACACAACGCTGTGTAGCAAAGACTGATTCCATCCCTTCCAGTCTTCAATTCAGACACAGGGATCTTCCTCTTAGGGACATTTCATTAAAGTATAAGATACATTCAAAAATGTGTTCAGCATGATCAATTTGAACACACCCATAAGAGCCAGCGCTGCAGTAAGAAACACGCCACCAGGCCCAGACACCTACTGTGCTCACTTCCACCCACCACCACTGCCACGAAGGACACAGTTATGACTGCAGCGGCATGAATAAATTTTGACTATCTTTGTACTTTATATAAATGAAACCTTTATGTCTGATTTCATTCATTCAACATAAATGTATTCATATTCCTGTGAGCACTGAAGACTGTCCAGCGCATGGCTATGTAATGCCATTACACTGAGTGAATACTTCACAACTCATTCATCCTTTCTTCTATTGATGGGCATTTGCATATGCTCCAATTTGGAGTGGATAACAACATGCCATCCTAACTTGCTAGTAATTATCTTTTGGGGAACATATGCATTTCTGGATATGTACTGAGCAATGGAATGGCTGAGAAACGGTACACGTATGTCCAGATTTAATAACTAGTGCCAAAAACTTCCTAAAATGCTTAGACCAATTTATATTATCACCAGTAATTCAAAGAGCTCTGGTGGCTTGACCTCCATGCCAGCGCACCGTATGTCTTTCTCATGTTAGCTATTTCAGTGAATATGTAAAGGTATCTCTCTAATTTTAATGTGTGTAAGTACCTTTGCATACTTATTGGCCAGCTGAGTCTCCTCCCTCCTATGTAAGGTGTCTAATCAAGTCCTCTCCTGTGGGCGGTCCATATTCATTTGAAGAGTTCATCATATATTCTGGACACACATCCCATATTTTATAAATACAGGTATACATATATGTGAAACACAAAAATGTATATATTAATTGTGAATATTTCCTGTTATTATGTGGATTATCTTTTCATTATCTTAAGGGAATCATTTCATTAATAGACTTTTTAATTTTATATTGGTCTAACGTACTTTTTTATTTTATGTTTACTATTTTTAGGAAATACTTAAGGCATATTTAAGAAATCCTTGCCTATTCCAACATCGCAAAGATGTCCTATATTTTCCCTGACATGTAAGAAGCTGTTAAACACAGCATACCACCCCTTTCCTATGCTCTCCTATCATGGATGTGCACTGTTACACACTTTCTTTATCATATTGATAAGACTTCTTTTTGTCTTCCCTACTAGGCAGTAGCGTTTTAAGAGCAGAGACTATGTCTATTTACTACTATGTCCTCAGAATTTGTGGAAATCCCTAAACCATAACTTGAATTTGCACAGATGTTTAAGAAGTCTGGTTTTACGGCACTGTTTAAATATTTAAAGATACATTTTCTAAAGCTTAATATGTTGTACTTACAGTAGCTAAATGTTATTCAAAAGATTTCATATCACATTTTCAATTCCTGTTCATCTTTAGAAAATTGTTAATTGAGAGACTGAATTGAATGATTTGAATGCTATCAACTAATCCAAATTTAGAACTAGAGATATAAACATAAGGAATCTGGCACTTACACAGAATACAACTTCATTTGATGATAATCAGATTGATTGAAAGATATCAAAACTACAGGCCATTAAAACTTATTCTAATTCACAAAATGAACCTAAACTTTACTTCTGTTCACATAGGTGTGCTGACTCGACAGGAAGCTTAAAACATGTAAAACGTTTGTTTCAGAAGATAAATGAAGTCCACATGCTCACATATGTACATGATAAAAGGACTTTCTATAGGAGATGCCCCTAATGAAAATTACAAAAGAGAAAGCAAAATAAAAGGCTCGTTGGGACCACAGAAGCAGCACATAATTTAGGGGCAGTCTACCAAGATTATAGTGTAACCAGAGTCATTAATGAGGAAAACATTTTTCTTTCAAACTCATTTAATGGAGAAAAGAAAAAAAGAAGTTAGGTAAAATTTACTCCTGAAATGATTACTACTAGCACTTTCTATATTCATAGTTGCACACTGCTAATTAGAGTGCAGAACAGCAAATATAGATTAATGCCCAAAACCAAATCAACTACTCCAGCATAAAATTTAACATGAAATCTCATTAATGTCAAGTGTGTTACACAGCACAAAGGTTAACTTACCAAGCACTAATAATATTTTTCAAACCCTGCAACAGACACCATTACCAAGCAGGTTCAGCTGGGCTTAGAGAAAAAACTCTCATTGGTCAAAATGACTAGTCTGCTTAGGACTCCCCCTCTCTGATGTCTGATAATATGAGGGTTAATTTCAGAAACCTGTTTTGCCTCCGGTGACCTGAGCTTGTGGTACGCAAACTAGGTAAGGATGACAGAGCTCAAAGTGAGTTCTGCCACCAGCCCCTCTCCTCTGACATATCTCTGGATAACCCAAATACTTCCTGGTACCGAACACTTCCAGTGAATTTCATCCTGAACTCAAGTATTAAGAAAACAATCCTATTGCCAATGATGCTACTTTCAGAAGTTATCTGTCAGAAGAAGTACTAGAAAAATACTCCATGGAGCAAATTACAGAAAAAGTCTGACATTGCTTCAATTCATTTGCTATTTAACAGGCCAAGTAAGGATATCCTCACGTTTGGGAGTCACAAACACCTATATATTTCTGATGAAATCTGAGTCCTCCCTCAGAAAACTGCATGCGGGAGCAAGTACACACACTGGAATACAAAGTTACACACTAAACAGGGACACACAATCACACACTATGTAGGGGCACTATTTTAGGAGCTTCGGGGCACAAATCCTTCTCAGATCTCCTAGAATTCTTGGCCTCAGATCGAATAAAACTGTAGTTAGAAAAAATAGATGTATACAAAGTCATTTTTATTTTATTTTTCCGTGCCCAATGTTTAAGCCATTTTTGATAAATGATTTTGGGTTTTAAATGTACCTACAAAACACCTTTACTCATACACCTTCTGGCATGCCTACTATGTCTAAGACCCAGTGCTGGATGGACAACAGAGCCCAAAAAGATTATATAGCAGTCAATTTGACTAAAATAATAATAATAATAATAATAAATTAATGTAGGGATTAATCTGTTAACCTATTCCTGCTGCTCACACTTCAGATTAATTGCATGATGCAGCTATGTATTGCTATCACTACAGCTCACAAGGTAAAGTGAGCACTTATAAGCTGATGGAGGATAAACCACAAGAAATTATCTCTCAGTGTAACAGGGTGGTCACCAGGAAAAGGGGAGGTTCCAGGTTCCCTGCTCCAACCAAGGGAGGGTGAAGCTGAGCAAAGAGGAGAAGAAGCTGGAAAGGAGACTGGAGTGGGAAGGAAGCAAGATGGGCAGCAAGGAGGAATCTGGAGGAGGCTCATGGAGCAGAGAGACACATGAAGAAGCTGCGCTTGCTTCTGGGTCCTGGGCAGGTTCAAACAGACGTGGGTGAGAAACCCTTGGGAAGGTGACAATGAAAGCTTTTATCTTGACTTTGATTTTGCTCTTTTCCTCCCAGACTTGTCTGGCTGTTTCTGATCCTTTTCCATGGGTCCCCACTGGAAGATGCTTTAGACTTGTGGCAGGCTTTCGGGCCTTGCTTTGGTCCAATCCTGTTTGGGTGGACTTTTACCCCTGAGGGGATGGGTAACTTTGGGTGCTTGATTTGAAAATTATAGTCTTTGTCTCTTCTGTATTACACACTAATTGTATTAAAGTTCCTTTCTATTAAAGGTCTACACGTTTTGTCTTGATGCAGTGGATGCAGAACTTATTTGGAACAGGCGGGTTTGGGGTTCTGGGGTGTCCTCTTCCTGGCCTGTAACATCAGGAACTGGTTTCGACTATTTTATCCCAGGGCAATAGAAGTATGAGTATGCAGAGATGTGTATATAAAATGTTCGGTGCGGCTCTAATTTGGGGGATAAATAGATACAATCTAGATGTCCAAGAAGAACAGGAATAACTCACAGTACATGCACCCAATGACCACTGCTGTGTGATTATATAAATGCTCTATACATACTGATTGGGGTTGATGTCCATGACACAGATCACATGGCAAAGCACATTTCAGAGTACCACTTGTAGTATGAATACATTCTAGTTAAAAAAAAAAAAAAAAAT